TTTTTTTTGCTTCTTATCTCGTCCGTCCCTTGTTGCCTCCAATTTTAGAGTTTGGAGCCGCCGTGCATGTTCTGACCAGCTTAGATGATCCCGAATTCCCCACCCACAAAGCCAACCATCGGCAATACCTCGCGGACCAGTCGCGCTTCAAAGAGGTCGTTCCGATCAAAGATCCCCTTATCCGCCGGAAAATCCGTTACACGTGGCGCCTGCAGTATCTGAAGGATGTGGTCCTGGCGCGCATATTGGACGACCCGACCTTCTCCGTCCTCAACTCCCTCATCTTCTTCAACCAGGTCGAGATCGTGAATCATATCCAGTCCAACGGCCAGTTTTTGAGAGAACTGTTCTCCGTCTTCGGCCCCCGCGCCCCCGATGCAAAACGCAAGGAGGATGCCGTGCAGTTCCTCCACCAGTGTGCCGGTATCGCGAAGAACCTGCAGGCCCCCGCGCGGGCCAACCTGTTCGCCAACTTCATCACCAACGGCCTGTTCGCGGTCATCGCCTTCGCCATCAAGCACCCGAACCCGTCGCTGCGGACGACCGGCATCGACATCCTCGTGGCGCTCCTCGACCACGACCCGATCATGATGCGCGGCTACATGCTGCGGGCCGCCAGTGAGAAGAGGACCCCCCTGACCGATACGCTCATCGATCTGCTCCATGTCGAGTCGGACTTGGGGGTGAAGAACCAACTGGCGGATGCCGTCAAGGTCCTGCTGGACCCCCAGATCCCGATGCAGGATCCGATGGGTCGCATGGGACCGGACCAGTATGCCAAACGGCCCGGCATCCTCCCCGAGGCGGCGGTTCAGGCCCATTTCGAGGAATCCGCCAAGCGGCTCTTCATGCCACTGAAGCGCCTCGAAAACCGTGCCACCCGTAAGTGCCCTTGTGGACGGGGGTTGAGTTTCGTCGTCGGGAGCTAACCATTGACCACCGCAGTGAACGATCTGACCTTCCAAGAAGTCGCCCTGCATTCGCACCTTGTCGACATCCTCACCTTCTTCGTCCGCCAACACCTCTACCGTAGCCGTAGTGTCATCCATAACGAAGCGCTGGCTCCTCGTGTGGCTAGGCTCCTCACCGTCCCCCAGAAACATCTGAAACTGAGTAAGTGACCCGACGCTTCTCCGCGCAGCCCGTCTGACCCGTCCGATTGTAGCCGCCTTGAAATTCTTCCGCTGCCTGATCAGCCTCCAGGACACGTTCTACCAGGCGCTGATGACGCACAACAATACGTTTGGCTTGATCCTGGACATCGTCTACGAAACGATGCCCCGCGACAATCTCCTCAACTCGGCTTGCCTGGAGCTGTTCGAATGCATCAAGCGGGAAAATATCAAACCGTTTGTCCTGCACGTTGTGGAGAAATACGGCGAGAAGCTGAAGAATATCACCTACGTGGATACTTTCCAGAGCTTGATCCTTCGCTACGAGCAGATGCAGGGCTACGGGGCAGAGGGGGACTCCGCCATCCTCTCCTCGCAGGAGGATATGACGCCGACTCGTGGGATACCGGCCAACGGGCAACGCTGGCAGGGGGCCCGGGAGATGGATTCCGCGGAGGAAGAGTACTTTAACACATCTGATGACGAGGATGAGGTAGGCGCGCCGCTCTGCATGGCATTGTCGATGTATACTGACGGTCGACTACAGTGGCCACAGGGCCAAGGGCCTAATGCAACAACGGGCGCCCAGACGTCCAACGGCGTGGTCTCACCGGTGGTCAAGCCGCTGGTGGATTACCCCGATGATGACGATGACGACGCGATGGACACGAACCCGGAAGCCGAGGCGGAGCAAAAGTCGGCACAACAATCATCCCGAGAGACCGACCTGCCATCCCACGATCCGGCCACCGACTCCCCCGAATCACCCTCGACACCGGGATCCCAAGTCGTGCAGACCCCGCCGGAACGACTGTCGGAGAAGCGACGACGGGAAGAGGAGGACGATGACGAGCTCGTCAAGTTGACTTCGGGCCCCAAACGCAGAAGCTCGACAAACGCTGGACCTGGGAGTGCGGGACTTCTCCGGAGACAGCGGACAATCTCGTTTGGGTCTGCGCCTGGTGGCAGCGAGAAGGCGGCGGCCGCTCAGGGTGCATCAGGCGGCGGCAGCGGTGGAGGTGTCAGCGCAGCACCGAAGCGGATTGCGATCAATCTCGGTTCGGCCAACAAACCGGCGCCGTCAGACACGAGCCCTACGACCCAAACATCCAGCGAGAAGGAGAACCAGGGCCAAGAAGCCAATCGCGAACGTGAATGATCTACCGATTACGATGTCCCATTTCATGTCTTTGATGGTAGTGCTCTCACACCACCTGTGATTTGTGTTATCTGCCAGCATCAGCCGTGTTTTGTCCGTGCTCGGAGTTTTTTTTTTTGACCGTGTGGGTTTTACGACAGTTTTTCTAGATACCACCAGATGGAGTGATGATTTCGTCTTTTCTTTTTCCTTACATCTTCTTACGTCTTCTCTTCGACCAATTGTACGATTCCCTTTTTTGTTTTCTCATATATTATTTCTGCCTTGGTGGTTTGTTTAGATATCATGTAAGAGGTTTCCATTGGAGATCTCAGGTCTGTTTTTTCCTTTGCTTACTCTCTATTCTGCCACCTATTTGATTAGCCTGTTGTACATTTACCTATCTTTCTCCTTGTCTCCCTGATTCACGGGGAGGAGTCAGGCCGGTGAAACCGACGGACTGCGATGGATCAGTGTACATCTGCATTTCCGGGGTCTATCTAGGCGATACTGTTTCTTGCGTCGGTTCTTATTCAAGGCTTCTTACGACTGGCGTCGATGGTTCTGAGGTGGTGGATGCGCCATCCATCGCTGTTTGCATTTCTCTGCAGAGATATTGAAATATGATTGCAGTGCACATAGTGGTCCTCATGCGGTAATCAACTCGTATTTACCATCAGTAGTGATTAGTGTTACTGTAGAGAAGGACCAGTATATTGAATGGTGTGTAAGGCTGATATAGTATATCAAAGTTGATTTATTTCCTCAATCAGACATTCGAGAAGCTCGGGAGAATATAGTGGAACTGGACTGGCTGAACTACCCGAAGCCGCGGGAGATTTCCCGTCCGACTACTACTCTACTTCATCCCTCCCATACCCCATACCCATTTGACAGGTACCAGACAAACAACACCACAACACCACATGAAACCATCATGGATACACAATTACACCCAGATACACACATCTCACCCGACCGTTTCAAGCGCACAATTCTCCCAGCCCAACAGGGCGCAGAGGCTGACCACTCCCCAGTAGTCATCTACATGATCAGCGGCAACCCAGGCCTAATCAGCTACTACCACGGCTTTCTCTCGACACTCGCAGACAGACTGTCTTCTCTGTCCACCGAGCAGGGCATCAGGAGTAAATTCCACATCTACGGGCACAGCCTGAGCGGATTTGAAGTGGAAGAATCCTCGGCCGGAAATGGCAACGGCAGCACCACACAGCCCTGCAGCCTCGAAGAGCAAATCTGCTTCGTCCAGCGCAAACTGGACTCTTTCATTGGGGGGTTAGAGGTAGTAGGGCCGCGCAGAGCGAAGGTGATCCTGGTTGGACACTCTGTAGGCTCGTACATCGCCATGGAAGTCCTACGCCGACACCGCGAGCGTTCCGATGCGACCTCGACATCGTCGTCGTCGGGGGCTGTCGGCTTTGATATTATCGGGGGCGCTATGCTCTTTCCTACTGTTGTTGATATTGCGCTGTCGCCGTCGGGGAGGAAACTTACCGTAGCTCTCTCTTCCTCTGCCACGTTCACTCCGTGTGCATTGAATAAATGGCTGACACAAAACAGAATATTCTCTCTTTCGTACCGCAGCTGGCTCTGCTAGCGGGCATATTCGTCCGCATCCTCGTCGCCTGCGTATCGGAGTTTATACTCCGCTCCCTAGTGAGATTCTACATGCAGTCCGCCTCACTTGAAATGGTCACTGCCACAACATCATTCATCAAAAGCAAGCGGGGCGTGCGACAAGCTCTGTATATCCCCCTTTCCCTTCCCTCCCCTCCCCCATTTATCTTCATCCCATAATCAAAACTAACAAAATAGACACATGGCCGCCGACGAAATGCAAACCATCACCGCAGACAAATGGTCCGATGACGTTTGGGGCGTGCCCAGCGCAGGCGAACCACTGACCCGACTGTTCTTCTACTTCGGTCGGAATGACCACTGGGTTGCGGAGCGAACGAGGGACGATATCATCCACATGCGGGGACGGCATGTAACTGGGGGCCCGAAGATGGTGGTTTGTGAGGAGGGGTTGCCGCATGCTTTTGTTTTGAGTGAGTCTTCCCCTTTCCTCTGATTTTCTTCGTTCTCTTCTGTTCATTTTGGTCTTCTTTTGTAACGGTGGGTGGGGCTAATGATTTATAGAGCGTGATGATACTGATGTGATGGCGACTAAGGTGGCGGGCATGGTTATGGAGATTGTGCAGATGGGTTGATATTCACCATTGTATAGATAGGTAGAATCCGCATATATATATAGAAATGGAAATAGAAGATAAATCGGTCATGTTGATTTAATCCACCACATGCAAACTGGGTATCTATTCGTACGCCTCGACCTGACTCACCGACCACGCATGAACCATGCATATATCAATGATAATAGAAAAGAACATGAAAGAAAAAAAAAGAATGTTATAAGAAGAAAAGGAAAAAAATCATTGCACCGGTCCATCCTGATACGCCAGCCCCGCCTTCCGGAACAAACTCCCCAGGACATCCCCCTGCGGCTGTGGCGGCGCCGGGGGAGCTGCAGCAGCTGCAGGAGTAGGGCCAGGATACCCAAGGGGCTGTTGGGACTGGTGGAAGTGCTGCAGGAGCATCTGCTGCTGGTGTTGTTGTTGCTGCTGCAGTATCTGCTGCTCTTGTTGTTGCAGCTGCTGCAATTGCTGCTGCTGAAACTGTTGCTGGCGCATTTGCTCGAACTGCCCATCCGCAGGCCCCAAATGATGCGCCCTCACACTCCACCCATCGTCATGAGCCCGCTGATGCCCAAACAGATCCTTGAGGGAGATCTGACGACCCATGGGCACACTCTCTTGGACTTCCTCCAGCGGCGGGGTGGTCGTCGCGGTGGCGGCGGCCGCCTCGTGCATGCCGTCCTGGCGGGCGGCTTCGAGACGCTCGCGGGCGATTTTGAGACTGTGGCCCGCGTGGACGGCACACTCGCGGACGACCTCCGCGTTGATGGTGCGCGTCTCGGCGGTGGAGTTCGGCGGGGGCTCGGAGTAGATCCAGAGGCCGTAGATGCGGATGGGGTCGGTTTTGGCGTTCCGAGAGTTAGAGGGGCCGGTGTTGTTGTTGTTGCTGTTGCTGTTGCCGTTGGGATTGGGGTTGGAATCGTAGGTGATGTCGGTTTTGAGAATGACGTATTCTTCGGTCAATTCGACGTTCTCGCCGTCGGTGAGGGGCACGTCGAAGTTGGTGAGACCGCGGCGGTTGAGCACGAAGACGGTGTAGCGTTCTTCGCCGAGGGGCCCTTGCGATAGCTGGCAGACGAAGAGCGTGCCTTCTATGCCGCTCTTTTCCCACTGGCGAGAGGTCGCGCTGAAGATGTAGACGACGGCATAGGGGGCGAGCGAGAGGATGTTTTGGATGGAGGGGTTGTGACGGCGGAGGACGGCGAGGTTGAGCTCTTCGTTTGTCCGGAGTGGAGGGGGAATTGGGGGGGAATCTTGTTGGTCGGTCATATTGGAGGGTGGTGTGTATTATTGGTGATGTGATATGGGTTTCGTGATCATGGTGTAGTTCAAGAGGAAGAGAAGAGGAAGTTGGAGAGAATGACGATCGGATGTGGGAAAGCGGTCAGCGGAGCATCTTGGCCGGCTTCGTCCTTCGCTCTCTGTCTCTCTCTCTCTCTCTTTCTTCCTCTCTCCCTCTCCTGCTCATTTCTCCCATTCCATTCGAAAAGATCTTGTTCAGTGTTGAACTACCCATGTTGATTTGAAAGTATGTGATCTCGGTGGTGCCTCCTCTCCTCGCTGCGTGGTGTCCTGCAGCGCCATGTCACCGCCAACGTCATCCCGGCGCGCGCCTGCTATGCTGTCCCCTCCCATTCATGATACTTCTCGCTCATGGATTAAGATTGGAACTGACACTCCGTTGAAGGTCTCTCCATCCATGGATTCCTCGGATTCTCGTTGAGCGTCACGTCCATCTCGTTCCGATAGACCGCGCGGTCGGCATACCACCACCTCCACGGCGGATTCCAGACTGCGCCGAGCCCCACTCTGGCTCTCGCCTCCTGTATATACAGGCAATGATTGTATTTACCTCTCAAACCTGAGCATCAAAATGGCTACTACCGAGCGACCGACGCCGAAATCCCCCCACTCTTCGTCCGACAGCGACGAGCGGCCTCCTTCCCCCGATCCCACCCCCGATCCGTCGTCGCTCCCGCAAGTGCTGAAGTCGAGAAAGTCGGAATACCTTCGTCAGCAGTCGGTGCGCATCAAAGTTGGGACGTGGAATGTGGCCGCCATCGCAGGCACGGAGGAGGACGTGGCGACGTGGTTCGTGCAGTGTAGGGGTATCTGCGAGCAACTGTCTGGACTGACAGTGTCGAACCCCGACGGGAAACCGGACGGGAAAAGACATGTCTCAGGCCCGGGCTCTGGACATCGCCCCGAACCAGCGCCCGAAGATGTCGGCCTTTTTGTCCTCGGATTGCAGGAGATTGTTGATGTCTCGTCGCCGACGGAAGCGCTGCGACCCTACGTGGACCAGGGTCCTGCCAGTAGGTGGAAAGCGGCGGTCCAGGAGGCCCTGCCGCCGGGTTACAAACTCGTCGCGGAGACCCAGTTAGTAGGTCTGCTGCAGTTGATCTACGCAGCGCCGTCGCTGGCCGACAGCGTGTCGTCAGTTAGCTGTGCCAACGTCGGCACCGGGCTCCTGGGGTACATGGGCAATAAAGGCGCGGTGGCGACGCGTCTGACGCTCGGGGAGACCACCTGTCTCGTCTTCGTCAATTGCCATCTGGCGGCAGGGTCGGATAAGGGGAGCCTGGAGAGACGGAATTGGGACGCTGCCCAGATCGCTACCCGCGCTCGGTTCGAGCCCATCGACTCCAGTAGGAGTCTCCGCGACGGCCCCGCCGAGACGATCGGGCAGGAAGACTTTGCGTTTTGGTTCGGTGACCTCAATTATCGGCTCGAAGATATCCCCGGGGCCGACGTGCGACAGGTGCTGGTTCGGCATACGGAGAACGAGTATGACAAAACGCACCAGTCGTCGCATGGGACCAAAGACCCGTCCAATCCGCCCGAGGGCGCCGTAGACGAAGATAGCACGCCGCCCACTCCTCCGTCGCCCGTGGAAGACGAAGACATCGACCCGCACTTTGATCCGGCATCCCTCCAGACCACCATATCATCGCTGCTCCCCCATGACCAGCTGCACCTGCAACAGAGAACCCGCAAATGCTTCCACGAGGGCTGGCGAGAGGGAGACATCTCGTTCCTACCGACGTACAAGTATGATGTAGGGAGCGTGGCGAGGTTTGACTCGAGTGAGAAGAACCGCGGCCCCAGCTGGTGTGATCGCATCCTGTATCGCTCGAATAAGGACATGCTCGACCACCAACGATCGATCAAGGAAGCCGAAGAGGCGCGAAAGCGCGACGAGGAGATGAAAGCCAGGGGCGTGGACAAGGCCGTTGCCGACGATAGCGTTCTGTTTGACTATGATCCCGACGTGGACGGCGCTGATAGCGGGGACGAATACGATCCTGATAAAGACCAGCCCAGTGGCAGTGACTCGCTGTTTGCGCCATCCGACGACCCAGAGTCGGATCCCCTCCGCCTGGACTATTACCTTTCACACCAGGGCATCTTATCGTCGGATCACAAGCCGCTGGTCGCCGGATTTACCATTACTTTCCAGTCGGTGGTCCCGCAGCTCAAAGCCAAGGTGCATCAGGAAGTGGTGCGGGAGCTCGACAAGGCGGAGAACGAGGCGCGACCCGGACTCACGGTGGTCGTGGACCATCACGGCGCGCCCAAGGGCGCTGATTCGGATGACCCCAACGCGGTCAACTTCGGCAACATCGCCTTTGACGTGCCGGTTCGCCGGACACTGGTGGTGGCCAACACCAGCGGAGTCCCCGCCACGTTCTCCTTTGAGAAACCAGAACGGGATGATGGACATGATCACAGCATGCCATCCTGGATTGACTACCGTGTGGACTCACCCGGTCACTCTTCGGAGGAGCATAAGAGTTCGGAACCTCACGACTACATGCTATCTCCCGGAGACCTGGCCAACATTGAAGTGACCGCACACGTCGGTAACATCGAACTGGCGCGAATGCTCAACGACGGGCAGATCAAGCTGGAGGAGATCCTGGTCTTGCGAGTCGCTAGCGGCCGCGACCATTTCATCTCCGCATTTGGGCGGTGGCTGCCCACGTGTTTCGGCCGCAGCCTGGAAGAGCTGACCGTCATGCCCGAAGCTGGGGCGCGCACGCTGCCCGCGGTAAAACTGGCCGACCAACCGGACCACAAGGTTTCGCTGTCGGCGCCCCGCGAGCTGTTCCACCTGACGGACGCCATCTCGGAGCTGACCGAGCGCGCCGTCGCGGAATGGAGCATGACGCGAGGCGAATCAGAGGAGATCCCACCGTGGTGCCGGGAGCCGGCCGGGTTCGGGTGGCCCTTCGCCCCGGAGACCTGGACGCTGGAGGACGGCGAGGAGCGCACGCAATTGCTGACCTCCGCCCGGGAGGCAATGGACACCAACCAGCCCTTCAGTGCGGTCTTCGCACCGGAGGTCTCGTCCCTGCACCGACTAGAGGCTCTAAGCGAGACGCTCGTGATGTTCCTGCAGTCATTGAAAGGCGGCATCGTCACAGCGGACGTCTGGCGCAAGCTCGACGAGCAGATCGTCGCGCGGGAGAAGTCCAAAACCCCACCGATGTCCTGGGAGGAATCCCAAGCCTGGGTGCTGGAAAACCTAGCCTATTCCCCAGCCCATAGTGTCTCCTTCACCTTCGTCACTTTCATGCTCGCACGCATCGCCAACGAAGTGGCCCCATCCTCCGCCATGCTAGCGCGCTCTGCCGCCGCAGCAAAACAGCAAGACCCAAGCAAGCCCGACACCATCTCCACCACCGCCCCTCCAACCAGCGGCTCCCACGCCGCCGCAGCGGCAAGTTTCATCTCGGGGGGCATCCGGCGCAAGCGCACCTCCACCTCCGCCTCCCAGGGGGCGGTGAACCCGCTCGCCGTGCGCCGACAGGCCGTCGAAGCTGGACTGTCCGCACTCTTCGCGCACTTTCTCATCGCACCGGAGGGGACCACGCCCAACAAGGAAAAAGAGCGTCGCGCGGTAGGCGAACGCAAACGGAGTATCATCGAGCCGTTTTTGAAGACCATCGGAGTGGATAACAACGGGCCGTCTGGGGGGGTTTCATAACCTGTCTCTCTCTCTCTTGTTTTTGTATGTTCTCATGTTAAGGCTGGCCGAGACTGGTCTTTATTTCTTATTCGGGAATAGAGCTGTATATTAGTACTTTATTTTCTCCATGTTGGTTAGAAGGGGCTGTTCGGGTATATTGGTGGTTCACCTAAGTTAGGTATTAGTATAGACGACTGGGTTTAGATGGATGTATATAGCTATGCAGCTGATAAAAATGCACAGCATTACTCAAATATCCCAGGTGATTGAACTAAATATATCATTTAGCGTCATTACCTATCTATTTAAGTATGTACTATATCCCCAGTGGAAGATATAAAGTCATAAAATATGGAAATGCGTTACCCGTAACTATATATTGTTGGATATCAAGACCCTACCACTCGCCAATTGGTGTTTTTAGTCGAATGGTCAAAATAAAAGACATGCTAACATATACCAAGATATCTCCCCCCAACAAGCCATTCATTTGAACACCCAATCCATTGAACAGCAACCACGCTAGTATATACTACAACTTACTAGTAGTCCCCGCCCCCCTCGGAATCCCAAACCTCGAAATATCCTCCTTCGTCGCACCATCAACCGCCAACTCAGCAAGGACCCTCCCAAAAGAAGGCGTAAATTTAAACGCATGAGCAGCGCCCAAGCCCACAATAACATCCGGATGCTCCTTCAACGGGGCAATCACGAACTGCCGATCCGGCGTAATACAATACTGACAAGTAACAGTGCGCAGCGGCTTCCTTCCCCCATCGGGGATGAATCCGCGCATGAAATCACCCAGCTGATGCAGCAGCTGCGCGGAGGGGACGAACGTGCGCTGGTCGGGCGCCATGAAGTTGTTGGAGGTATCGCGGGCGGCTTTGATAGTTGGCTCGCCGTAGGTAGGGAAGCCGTAGAAGGCGGGGTCAGCGCCCCAGATCCAGACGGGGAAGTGTGCCGGGTCGAAGGCGGTGGGGTCGGTGGGTTTGAAGTAGGTGACTTGTTCTTGCATGGTGGTGAGGGGGATGTGCACGCCTAGGGGCGCGAGGAGCTTGTTGGTCCAGGCGTCTGTGGCGAGGATTACCTTCTTGGCGTGGTATCTGTTGTTGGTGTTGTTGGGGTTTGTGGCTGTCTCGATGAGGACTCCACCGGAGGGTTGAGGGGTGACGCGCTCGACGGGGGTGTTCTCTTTGAGGAGGGCGCCGTGGGTACGGGCCTGGTGCTGGAGGAGGGAGACTGTTTTGGAGGCGTGGGCGATGCCCGTGTCGGGGGTGTAGATCGTGTCGACAGAGTCCGGGATATCAAACTGGGGCCAGCGGCGTTTGACCTCCGCCGCGTCGAGGAGCTCGTAGGGAACGCCCGTGTCGTCGAGGGTCTGAGCGAGGGTGTCAAACGGGGTGGACATGTCCCTCGGGACGAAGACAACGCCACCGGTGATAGTCAGCAGCTTCTGGCCAGTGACTTGCTCCAGGTCGGCCCAGTCCTTGTAGGCAGATTTCGCGAGCGCCACATACTCCGGGAGCGAGTTGGAGGTGCGCACGATGCGCGAGGTATCGTGGGAGGCGCCGCGGACGTGGCCCAGTTCGAATTGCTCGAAGGCGATGACTGATTTGCCGCGACGAGCGGCGTAGTATGCTGCTGCGCTTCCGAGGGCGCCTAGACCGACAACGGCCACGTCGTAATGCTGCATTGTGATGTCTTAGTTGTCTTGGAGGTTGGATATGGGGTATGTTGAGGGTAGTTCTGCGCTGGCATGGCCCATTTATCTTCTCTCGTCCCGGGACGCACGGAGGAGAGACCGTCCACGTGATGATAACTGGATGGCATCATGATTCGGTTTTTGAACTGGTCCGTGGTGATCGTGAGGGTGAATGTGTATCGTTGTGTGTTGTATGCGGGGTTGGAGAGAAGATGTCCGGGCCGGGAATGGGAGCGGGCCGCTTCCGCCCGTCTGGACAGTCAGAGATTCATGTAATGTCTGGTGGAACAGTCTAGCTTGTGCACATCTTGGTTGGTCGAGCTCTATTGTCAGATGTTGATATGTTGAAAACAAACGCCATGACTCGAGACCTTACGCAGCATATAGAGAAGTACCTTAGTCTACAGCCCTGTAAAGAGTAGAAAATGCATAAGTACATAATCACGCCAGAACAACCCAGCCAGAGCACCCTGGTCAGAAGACCATTGATATAAAATTAATAATGCATGAGCTAATGAATCAATCAGACCTTCAATCATTCTCCCGTATCGGTTTCAGTGTCTTCCCTTCGGCATCACCCTCCTGGGTTGATCTACCCCGCCTCGGGCGCCTCGAGGATGAAGGTGATCGAGAAGACGGGTTTTCCTGGGACCCCTGGGCCGGAGAGGCTTTCCTCTTTCCCTTGTTCCCCAGGGGACGCTTTCCTAGACGGGTTGGAAACGATATGAGTCCCGACACACGCCGCACGAGCCGTGCGGGGAGAGACGCCAACGACAGGAAGAACTGCACCGGGACCAAGACAGCGGCGCACAGAGAGTCAAAGACAATGTGGAAGAAGCCTCGGGGCTGGCGGTGCGCCGCAGCCGCGAGCGACACCGCGTCGTTGACGTGTCGCTCAACGGCTTGGAGCCGGCCGTCCGTTTGGTAGCCCGAGATGGCGGTGCGTTTCTCATAGCGTCGCACGGCGCGGTTCAGGGCGTCGATGTCGGGCTGGATGGTTTTACGGACTTCGGCACTGGCCTGCGCCACCAAGTTTTCCATGTTGGGGGCTGTGTCCGCGTGGTCAGCGCCTTCCGGGGTGGAGCGCAACCGTTGCGCGACAGTTTCGGCGACGTGCGCCTCGAGTTCTTCCAGCCGTTTGGTCAGATCCAGGACCTTGTGCGCATCGATGCGCTCGCTGTCCGGGTCGTCGAACTCGTCCGAGTCGAGGACAATGCGCTGGAGATGGAGCGTGCGCGCTTGGACCATCTTCAAGAGGTGGGAGGCCGGCCGGATCTCCGAGGCCAGAAGGAAGATGGTCAGGTTGTAGTTGGAGACGAGGCCCTCGGAGGGGCGCGAGAGTTGGGAGCGGATCGTGTGTAAAAGCAAGGTGCCGACAATCGGAAAGACAAAGCACATGACCAAAGCGGCGAGTTCGTGTCTCATCAACTCTTTGCGGGCTGCTGCCGCGTCCGACGATTGTCGGCGATGTTTGTCCTTGTCGACACTACGAGAATGGGCATCGTCGCCGCCGGTTTTGTCCGTGGTGTCGTGACTGTCGACATCCGGAGGGACTTCTGCTACGTCATAGTACTTATCTTGTCGTTGTTGAAGGGTGGCCTGTGCAGAGCGATACCAGTCCCTGGCGGGGTTAGCGGGGGACTGTACGAGACCGGGTAAGGGATCATCTCAGCACCAACATACCATGGAAGCCTGACGGACCAGTTCAAAAAGATGGCAGCTATCACCAGCAGGGTCACGTCGGTGACGATCGCACTCCCATCCTTGAAGAAGAGGCCCGCGACTGCTGGTAACAAGGCCAAGCCCAGGGGGAAGGATTGCCAAGGCGACTCGTCCGGGGTCGCGACGCGCTCACTGCGTGCGGGGGCGCGGGGAAATAATATGTCGTCGGTCGAGGAGCGTAGGGAACGACGGGCGTCGGAAACAGTATCCGACAGAATGGAATTACGACGTTGCGCCTGGGATGGTTCCAAGTGAGCCACCGTGGCGGCGCGAACTGGACCCCGATGGCGTAGTCCGGGGGGTGGTGAGGGTCCGTGGGGAGACATGGTCTGGACCGGGGAAGCCAGGGGGCGGGCCATCCATATGTTGTTCACCTATTGATTGGGGGGTTACTATAGAATGAGGCTCATAGAAGAGGTGTTCCACTGAAGTCTCTCGCGAAAGAGACGAACAGGAAGAAGTATCTATGAAGAGAGATGGAAGAGAGGAAGGAAGGAGAGATGACGATGACGGCGAAGATGACGAGGTGGAAATGCCCTGAATAACTCCATCTATGAGCAGATGACTAATGGCGCATGCACTGATGACTCATTCCTGAGTCAGCATGGCGCCCACGCGCCCTGGCAAGCCCTAACTGAGCAACAGGAACGGATGTCCGATCCAGATATGATGGATCATGCTTCTAGATGGATGGATGGCGATCAGGCTGTTTTCTGTGAGGTTGCGGCTGGGCGTTCCTTCATATCTGGGTGGGGTAGCTGCCTGGTTGGGGCCAAATCAGGTGGGATCCATGGGTCTTATAGTGTACTTCTTAGTACTTTTTGGTATATCAGCTGCATCCATCCGGAGAATGACACACGTTACAAAGTGAAAGATAAAGAATAACAAAACCATACAAGATAGGATCATTGATCATTTTGTTTCCACAATGCTGAGCGCATTACCCCTCGAGCTCCTCTTCAACATAGTCGAATCCCTCCCCCGATCCAGCCTGGCAGCCCTGACTCGCACGGAAAAGGGGCTCGCAAAACTCTTGACTCCGCAGCTATACAACGACGCTGTCAAGTGGGAATTCCATCGAGATGAAATTAAAGAATGGGTCTCCACCAGAAATACCCCAAAGGACGACCAACAAGCAGAAGAAACAGAAGAAACAGAAGATGAATTCTCCGACTCCGACGAAGATTCCGTCACGACCTCGTCTGACACCACGGATACGTCGTCTTGCGCATATGCGTTTGGCTCTGCTCGGCGCTGGCATTCAGACTTTATCCTAGACTATTTCCGTTCGCTGCCAGCAGCCGCACTCGCTGGCACCCGGAAAGATAGGGACTGGACGCTGGTCCATGTCGCCGCGCAGTCAGGAAACATCGACTTGGTAGAGATCGCCATCAGCAAGGGCATATCCCTGGATGGTGCGAACCACGCCATCGAAAGCCACCGCAACAATACCTGTCCGCTCGTCTTGGCTATACAAGCGGGGCACGAGGCCATAGTATGGTGGCTTATTGAGCATGGCGCAAACATCACCGGACCGGTCCACATCGACGGCAAAAAGGGAAACATCCTGAGCCAGGCGGCCTCCTACGGCTCGACTGCCCTCTTGCGTCACATCATCGGGGCCAAGCGACGCGACCTTTCTCTAGACGACGTCACCTTCTCCGAGGAGCTCGGCCGCTTCGGTTTGTGCTATGCTGTTCTTGCCCCCATCAACCGGGACCGCCTCCCCGCGATCCGACTGCTTCTGGACGAGGGGGCCGACCCATGCACGTCACACACAGACCACGTAGCCAGCACGCCAGTGGTAGTCCTGGCGGCGTTGAACCGAAACCTTGAGGCCCTCAAACTCCTCCTCGACCGAGGCGCAGACATTAACTCGACCGGCAGAAACAAGACCACGCCCTTGATGAACGCCGTGGAAAACGGGCACGACGAGATGGTGCATCTGTGTCTGGATAGGGGCGCCGACCCCACCGCGTGCCAAAGCACCGGGCAGATGACGTTGTCGTTTGCAGGCGGGAGCTGGCTACCCTGGGACACGGTGCAGCGGCTTTTCTTCGCCTTTCTCGACGCAGGGGGAGATTTGAATTCCATCGAAGCGGAAGAGCCATTGCCTCATATTGCGAGAACAGGGAACCCCGCGCCCTACTACTTGCCTCTGCACAGCTTTGTCGCCACTGGCCGCATTCCGGCCGTTAGGCTGCTCCTGCGACATGGGGCGGACCCCCTTGCTAAGGGCATAGTCGGGGCTACGGCGTTGCACGTGGCCATGAACAGTTATAATGAAAAGCCGCTGCTATTTGGGGATATCGTAAAGGAATTGGTGGACGCTATAAAACGGGCTGGGGGAAGTCTCGACGACGGGGTGACATCGGACTCGACCTACTTGTATGACCCGCAGGGTTCCACGGCGCTGCATATGGCCGCCAGACAGAACGCACTGGGTGTGTTACGTGTGCTGCTTGCGAACGGGGCGGACGCGACGGCCTTGGATAGCTCCGGTCGCTCGGCCCTAGAGTATGCGACAGAGTGGCGTAATAAGAGATGCATTGATTTGCTGTCGAAGGCAGTAGAATCGCATCGAGTGGGTGCGAATTAAGTCGTGTTCTTTTCATCTTGCAGCAATTCAAATAAAAAAATCCAACTTGCGGTCTATATTCGTCTAAATCGTTATGTGGTAATATCTAATAATCAAGATAGCCTTGCCCAACGACAGCTCTCATGCCGATACCACAATGTTCAAGGTCAGATGTCCAGCATCCGACCCGAACCACCACATGAGTCACTGCGTATGAAAAGAGCCAGCTCCAACCTACGGGACATACACCATGGGCTCTGATCCATCGTCCAACTGGTGCTTGCTTCGCGCCACGCGCCGATTATGGAAGATATACACGAGGACCTGCACCACCGCACTTGCTATTCCGACAGCCACCATGATGATCATGGTGCGCAGACCCTTGGAGTAACTTGAGAACGGTTAGAGAGGGCCACAACAACAGGGAGGGGATATGGTCAACATACAGTGGCTTGTCAGGGGCCTGGAAGTACTGCGCTCCGGCCATCAGACCGGCAATGGCAGACATTACCCACATCCTGGTTTCTAATTAGTTTTGGATGTAGACTGGGGTTCAAGTGTAAGACATACGCAATGCTGATACTCCGCTCCCTGGGATCGCGACAGTTGAGCTGCACCCAGGAGTTATGGACAGGGTGGTAACCGACAGCGAAGCTGTTCACGGCGGTCCACAGACCCCACCGTGACCACTTGCCGACATGGGGCTGGACCAGAAGGGCGACTATGAGTACCACGAGGTAGCAGACCTGGGCGGCGATGACAGTCCCACCGCGCATGTTGGTCCTGTCGCTCAGGTAGGCGAAGAAAAATACGACGAAGAGTGCGAGGAACGCGCCCACTGCGGCTAAGGCGTTGGCTGCGATGCGGCCGAACCCGAGCGACCTGTGTCCACGTCAGTTACAATTTATTGGACCCTTGATAGGGTGAAAGATTTCTGGAGCTGTCACGCACATGATAATAGACGGCGTGTAAGTCGTCAGAGGACTCCACGTTGAAAACACCACAAAGGTGGAGATGAAGTGCGGCCAGCGATAGTACTGGGACACCGCGCGCCAGACGATCTTGAGAGGAATGACTAAACCTTGAGCGCCTCCTCGATTCTCCCCCGCTAATCGCTCCTGCAGCACGTGTTGGTCTGCGTCGGTGAAGCGGATGAGCCCCGGACTCAGTAAGGGCTTGGGACAGTCAGGTGACCCGGGTATGAAGAAGAGGAAAACGATCGAGACGGAGATAGTGAAGACTCCCTCGACTGTGTCAGAAGTTAGCGATAAGTAAATTGAAAACGCCAACATGTTTCTCATGACATACTCAGGAACAGCCATTGCCACCCTGTCAGCCCTTGTCGACCATTGAGCTGCAAGATACCCGAAGCCAGGAGCGGACTGCAGGCGTTGCCACCAAACATCCCAAAGAAGAAGATAGCCACGCGCTTGGCGAGCTCTGACTTCGTGTACCATGTCGACAAGGTGTAGACAGCTCCGGGGATATAGCCCGCCTCGGCAAACCCGAGCAGCAGGCGTGTGGCGATAAAGCCGCCTCGATTGCGGACGAAGACCTGCATGGTCGCGATCAGGCCGAAGACGAAGACCTGCGTTGCAAGCCACTTGCGCGGACCAACCTATTACCCCACTGTCAGTGTTTGTTGTTCGTTAAAGGACTGGGTCGTGCGCACGCGTTGCTGGGCCATGTTGCACGGGATCTCAAAGACCACGATGCCCATGAACATCAACTGGTTGCCCATGTTGACCGTGGCCTGATCGATCTTAATGGCCTCGAGGAAGCCGCCAGTCAATGCACTAGCCAGGTTCATGCGATCTAATTGGAAGACGAAGAGGCCGAGGGTAAGGAGGGGCAGCACGGTCAGGTCGACCCTGAGAGGGAGAATGGATATCAGCCGGGAACTTCATTATAGCTTCATTACTTCAGTAATCAGGGTAGTAGTTACACACTTTCTTCGGGCCTTTCTCTCCTGATCCAGAGTCCATCCCACGGTAGGCAGTTGGGAGCATTGCGAATGGTTGGACGCATTGCTATGCGATCCCTGTTTCTCGGTATCTACTTTGATATCCATCATGGTGCCAGTCACCGGTCGGCCATTGATAAAACCCTATTTTCAGGCCTCTAGTAAAATCATATGAGATTGGCAGACCCCAGTTCCGAGTCCCAGGCACCGGACATAGTTAAGTATCGACCCCTGGTCGTCGGGGTCTGCTCATGGTGGCCCTACGAAATGACTGATATCGAGTCCATATGGCGTGCTTTCAACGGTCCCAGGATTCGTGGACCAAGGTTCGGATAGCCAGTATAAGATTAAGCACCGCCCATGCGAACCCTGCCCTAAAACGTGGTTTTCTCGAGGATCGTCGCAGGAGCCAAGGAGCAACCCCGGGATGGCTGCAGATTGCGTGACCGTCCCCACAACAAACATCATCACCAAACCCCGTCGATAAGAACAAAGACCGTCAACGGCGGGGTTAGGAGTCGGACGATATTCGGTGATTGCGAGTCAGTGGGATAATATAATATAACTAACTGGAGAATGTACCTGGTAATTCTGCGCGCAAACTTTATTTCGCTTTTCAACCTCATAGTATGGATTTCGCGCACGTTAAACGAGTAGCCGTCATCGGCGCGGGGCCCGCAGGAGCCATTGCCATCGACGCGCTGGCGCAGGAAAAAGCCTTCGACATAATCCGAGTGTTCGAGCGCCGCGAGGGTCCCGGAGGATGCTGGTTCGTCTGCGCCTGTAAAGCTTTACCTTGTTCGCCGTAGCTGACATGACGGGGTCCTAGGGTCGGAGACTCATCGCGACCACCAACGCTTTCGAACTTCGAGTCCCTAGCCAAGCGAACAGCAGATGCGCCATTGGCAGTCCCTAAACGACTGCCCGCGCAGACGCCAAAGACCGACCAGCCGCGCTTCGCGGAGTCGTCCATCTACCCCTACCTGGAGACGAATATCGACTCCATCCCGATGGAGTTCAGCCAGGAGCCGTTCCCAGAAGACCGCAGCGAGCTGTCGATTTCGAACTACGGGCCAAAGACCCCGTTCCGGAAGTGGGACGTCGTGAGGGACTATATCTCGGGTCTCGTGGAGCGCAAAGGATACAGCGACTTCGTCTCGTACAACACGACGGTCGAGCTGGTGGAGAAGGAGGGCGCCGAATGGAAGGTCACACTTCGAAGGGAAGGGACGCACAGCGACTACTGGTGGACAGAGACGTTCGACGCCGTCGTCGTTGCCAGTGGGCATTACTGGGTGCCTTATATCCCTGCGATCGCAGGGCTCGAGCAGTTCGAGAAGTCCAGGCCGGGAAGTGTGCTCCACAGCAAGCATTTTCGCGGCCGAGACGCATTTACCGACAAGGTGAGTTTGATCTAGGACAAATGATGTGCATGGTGTCCATGCTGACGAAATCAACCCCAGCGAGTCGTCGTCGTGGGCGCATCCGTCTCCGCAGCGGACATCTCATACGATCTGGCGGACACGGCGAAAGCAGTCCATGCGATCACGATTGGTCACAGTGCAAACGGCTATTTCGGGGACGAAGCCTTCAAGCACCCCAAGATCAACAACCACCCGTCCATCGAGAAGGTGGTGAACAGGACCGTTCACCTAGCGGACGGTACCTGTATCCCAGACGTCGACAACATCATCTTCGGCACGGGCTACAGCTGGACTTTGCCCTTCCTGCCGACAGTCCCAGTGCGCAACAACCGTGTCCCAGAGCTATACCAGCACGTCGTTTGGCAAAAAGACCCAACACTGCTATTCGTGGGCGCTGTCGCAGCAGGCTTAACATTCAAGATTTTCGAATGGCAAGCAGTGCTCGCAGCGCGTCTGCTCGCCGGCCGAGCAACCCTACCCCCATTAGCAGAGATGCAGAACTGGGAGGCGCAGCGCATCAAGGCGCGGGGCGACGGCGTGAAATTCACGTTGATCTTCCCGGATTTCGAAGATTACTTCGAGACCGTGAGGCAGCTGGCTGGTAATGGGGAAGAGGGCAAGGGTCGCCAGTTGCCTAAGTTCCAGCGCGAGTGGTTCCGGGCTTTTCTGGATGGGTTGACGCGCCGTAAGTTTATGTGGAGGCGGTTGAATGCGAAGGCGCGGGAGGCGCTGGAGAATACGGAGAATCGACAGAAGAGGGGGTCACGGCTTTGAGCGGTTCAATCAGAATCGAGCATAGATAAATGTATATACTTGCTGCTATAAGATTGATGTGACCTAGACCGGCGTTTCAGACTCAATATATCTATTTCTTGGGGAACAACCGATGAAAAACAGTCAAAAATGGTATAATATTGATAACTCATGAATTTTGCAAGAGATTGCAAGATTGGAAGAAGCGTCAAAATACAAATGGTGTGGAAAACTGTGCAAGTCATGTTGACCGATTGCAGTCACTCCACATCCACCATAGAAAGGCACGACGTACTGCGTTCATTGCTAGCTCTATACAGCAGAGGTCGCAAAACAAGAAGCCATCTCGACCCATCCACACCAGAAAATTCAATCCGCAAGAACAGAACAAACCCACTTCTCAAAAGCCAGTCTCGTCTCCGACCTATCTTCTCGCAAGGTAAGCTCCAGAATCATATGGTTATGAGATTCATCCTCGAGCACGCAGATCTTCGTCTTCGGGTGCACAGACTGCAACCGCCTGCCCATCTCCTCAATATCATCGAGGAAAATCTCATCGTCCCCAGCGGTGATTAGAACATCCCTCGCAGGCAGACCGCGCCACCAGTCCTCTGGCGCCGAGAGCGGCTCCATGTAGGGATCTGTCGGCGCGGAGCCTCGGAACTGTGTGGCCCAGCGGTGGAGCACGTCGGTGTCGAGGGCATCTCTTTGCCGATTTAGCTGCATCGACTGTGTCTTTTTTGTGTCGAAGGTGACCCACGGGGAGAGGAGCGCTACTCCTCGGAAGGGGTTAGTGAGGGTTAGCGGGGGCACATGGGGGTGCGCGTGAAGGATATGGGAGAGGATGGCAAGGGCGAGGTTTGCGCCTGCGGAGTCCCCTGCGAGGATGATCTATGGATATTGTTAGCTCTGTGTTTCGGTTGATGGACGTGTTGATAAATTACATTTGAGGGGTCGCGGTTTTCGGTGTGAATGAGGTAGTCCAGTAGTTGGCAAGCTTGTTGGAGTTGGCGGGGATATGAAGCGTCGACAGAGACGTCTATCCTCGATTAATACGCGCTACAATTTACTTTTGCGGAGAACTCACCGTACGAAAGCAACAAGACAGCCAGTTTGTTGCCCTTGCGCTCGGCCTCTTGCACCGTCTGGTGGAGCAACTCGAAGTGAACATCGAGGGCCGGTACCACATAACCCCCTCCTGCAAGCAGCCACTCCATCAGCGCCGATTTTAATCAGAAAGAACAAGACACTTACCATGGCAAAAAAACATGACCTTTTCGACAGTCTTATCCCCAATCCAGTGGCCTCGGGTACCATCGGCCAGGACAACCGTTTCTGGCGCACAACCACGCGACGAGCAGAACTTTTTATACCCTTCGTCTGTGGATGTCATCAGGGTACTGTGAATGAATAGTAAGCTCGTTGTGCTTTCATTTTCCTATACAGATGACGGGGAGATATACGCTAGTGCTCTAGATGAGAGGCTCCCCGTAAGAATCCGCGACCCCGCATAGCAGAAGTGGCGGTAGTAAGTTGAGGGACCCTCGCTTCGTTGAAATAGAGCCGCCACTGCTGCTATGACCAAGCGTAAAACTATTCCTCTGTCAATATCATCGAGTTCGATGCATACCCATCGACAAAATAGAGATACGAGAACGGGTCTGCATACTAGCTTGGACCAACGACACCGCGACACCGACCCACTCCTGCGCAGACAAGACACGTTTTGGAGGCATGACGTCGATAAGCACTCGTACTGCTGTGGGTCTTCTCTATCTCTTGCCGATTAATCGGGGGAAGCCCTGTATATCAAACACGAGTGAATAGACCAATGTCAGCCACTGATCCTGTATCTGGGTTGATAATTGGCCACAACGGCGCAGTTGGTGCAACTTGTGCGCGCCTCACATTCCGTGCAGATCCGGGGATATGGGAACGCCATTTGTCATCAATGTTATGTGATCTATCTTAATCATCGAAAATCTATCAAAATACATGAAATAAAGCTCATCAAAATATAGAAAGTAACTATAAATCATACTCACGTTATGCTATAGTATATCAGTAAATGTCATGCTGTAATGGGTGGGGATGCACCAGTGCACCATCTAGTATCAGTTGCAATCCTCGGGGTATCGATGCGCCTCATAGCTTGGCCTGGCGATAAAGAGTGTATTTCACAGCCCCCAATATCCTCTCTCGATCCACAGTTTTCACTCGGTCCTTCAACTCGCGCTTAAGGACCTTCCCAGCTGCGCTTTTCGGGACCTGCGGGATCCAGACAATGCCCCCGCGAAGATGCTTATAATGCGCCACGCGATCCTTCAGAGAGCCTAGAATGCTTACTGCCATGGCTTCGGTTTCATGTGTAGCATCTTGAAGCACGAGGTACGCCAGTGGTACCTCGGTCTGGAGGTCGTCGTTCGCTACTCCGATGACTGCCGCATCTTTAACATGCGGATGGCCGAGGAGGATGTCTTCTAGCTCGGTCGGCGCAATCTGGTAGCCCTTGTACTTGATCATGTCCTTGGCGCGATCGGTGAGGTAGAGATTGCCGTTCGCGTCTTCGTATCCGATATCCCCCGTTTTGAACCAGCCATCAGCGGAGAGGCATGCATCGGTCTGTTCCGCATTGTTCAGGTAGCCCTTGAAGACGTTCGGGCCTCGGATCCATAATTCCCCTTCCTCGCTATTTCGTGCTTGACGCGCGTCGTCAATCATTATCTTGGCCTCGAGGCCAGGTAGCACCGGCCCCGATGACCCAATGGCTTGGTCCCAGTTATCCCAGCTCTACAGAAATTGGTGATCAGCGCTGCCCCGAGGGGTGAATTCGGCCCGGTGCACTTACTTGTCTGTGAGAGATAGACACTGTCTCCGATAGCCCATACGCTTGACGAATTGGGATTCCAAGTTGCTGGTAGCCCTCACGGATCAGAGCAGCAGCGAGCGGAGCACCACCGGAAGTGATCATGCGGAGCGAGCTCAGGTTGAAGCGGCTGACTGCGCTGTTCTTCGCCAGATGCAGAACAATCGGAGGCGCAACGAACACGTGGGTGATCTTCTCCGTCTCTATCAGTCGGCAGAATGCTTCCAGCTCGAATTTCTCCATCATGATTGTCGGCGTTCCCAACCATATGGGAAGATGGACGAGACAAATGAGCCCTGCATTGTTATCATCGTTAGAAAGTTATATCCATGTACATATGGGCAAAAGAAAGAAAAAGAGAAAAGCTTGACATACCGTAGATGTGATAAGTGGGCAGGACAGCTAGGACGCGATCTCGAGTCCAATCAACATGGCGCCCTTCGGCTGCGCCGGCGAGAACCACCTCTGCGACTACATTGCGATGGGTGATCATGACAGCTTTGGGTTTTCCCGTGGTGCCGGATGAATACACCAGGTACGCAAGGTCATTCTCCGGGTCGATAGGGGTGCGGGTCAAATGCGAATCGCTATTCCGAAGGAAAGAATCCACGGTTACGAGCCCCCGTTGGGCGTCTCCGAGAGCCAAAATGCGCTCAGCCGGCAGATTAGATTTCCGGGCAGCTTCTAACCCGGCCTCGACGCACTGTGGATGAAGAACGAGTCCCTTCGCGTTGCTAGTCTCCAGATTGTACTGCAGTTCCTCTGCGGAGAGTCCTGGGTTTGTGGGGGCTACAACACCACCTGCCCAGTGGCAACCCCATATAATAGAGGGAGTCTCTATAACATTCGGGGCCATCACAAGAAGGACATCCCCCTTCTTCCAGCCCCAGTGGGTTTTAAGGGCCTGGCCAAACACCTGGGCCTTATCTTTCACATCTTTGAACGTGTAGTGCGAGTTGGACTTTGAAGATTTGAAGATCTCTATCGTCCCAGTCAGCCAAGAATACTTGATATTTAGTATATTAGCCCGAGCGGGGAAGCAGTACCATGGTTATCGGGGAAGCTGCGGTCTTGTCTCTCGAACAGCAGCTCCCATAAATCGATCGATGGAATAGTCGGTGTCATTTCGTCGAAAGTTAATTGTTGATTGCAGTTGTAAACATCACAAGCTTTGCATTAGTGCGGTGATGCCAGTAGTTATGAAATCATCTGTCGGTTACATTGTTGGAGATCGTGTCTCGGTAATGCGGGGATGGTGACCTTTTGCGGAATGATCGCCCAGTCGTCGGAAAAGCTGGTCCCTCCTCGCGTTCTAATCCAATGACATGTAGAATTGTGGTCGGCTTGCCGTTGCTACAAGCCGGCCAAAAGGAGTTTGCACAATGATTAAGTGGTTTCGCAAATTCACTCGGTGTTTGCGCCATTGTATGAAATCTTGCGCAATCGCCGCCCCACAGGCGACGTGCAGCCTTTGCAGATCATGGAACCCATGATTAAACATGGCTACAACTACCGCGATAGAAATCTAGCATGGCAGCGAAAAATCCACAGGGAAATTACCAAAAAAAATCCAACCGACACTGTACACCATTAACCGTGATATTTCAGACTAAAACACCCCTGCATAATTTCAAGACTCATGGATCACGACTCTCGCCATCGTCATCAGCCACGATAGACGAGGTCCAAGCAAGCCATGTACCAGGCGATGAGAAACACATAAAAAGATGTCGCAATCTAAGGTCGTAAGATTACCCACGAAGCCCAAAAGTGGCATGATATCTCTTGTAGCCCAGGGGTAATTGTTTCCACGAAAGATCAAATAACGATATGAACCGTGCTACATGATGCAACTGTCGGATTTTCCCTGGTCGCGTTGGGAACCAGGTTGGATAAGCCCTGACAAACCAAGACGGAGTATCTCAAATGAGCCTGCAACTTAGCCACGGCAGTGCTCCGTCAGATATTATATCCTGCACTTTGCCGAACCAACATTGTCTCCATGGTCCTTTTCCTCTTTGATTGGTCCATATCGGCTGGATCCTAGCCCATTGTGCGAGCACTCGACTCGAGAGGCGGACATCTGGGGATATACCGCTCGTTCGTCGACATCCAAGACATTGGTGGAAGTGGAGATAGCATCTACCAAGCTGGTCGTGTGGGTTGCTGCACCAGGTGGTCTCGATCTACCGGATTCTTCACTCCGCGATTGCCGTCCAGATCAAATGACACCCGTGGCTCAAAGATGATAGTGGCAAGAGAAGACCGTACGCACGACCATTAGCCTATCAAAACGCTCATAGGACTAATTCGACTCCTTTGATCCTTGTCGAGCCGATTGATGGGCTCTCTTTACTGGCCGGGCGTGGTGTGTCACAAAGGATGTCGAGGAGATTGTAAGCAGAAAGACGTCCGTTTCCTGTGAAACCGAATCGCCACTCTCACGAAGAGGGTGGTAGGAAGTAGAGGAGATACAAGGTAGTATCTTGAGAACAATGTGTTGGAGAGGAAAAGAGAAAGTGGTTCAACAAGTTTGGCTCAGCTGGATCTATTGACACCCGAAAGGGGAATGGCCCCGTCGCTTCTCTCCAACAATGACGCATTCCAAGTCAACAACCTCATTGACACTCTCCGAGTTCGTTCGTCTTGTTCTTTCACTCCCTATTGAGGTCTCATCATTCTTTCACTGGGCTTTATCTCAGTGGGGGCTGTGTCAATAAAGCTGGTGATGTTTCTCGTGGAGAATTCGTGTTGACCCAAACTTTGACTGACCAGGCCGGTCTGCAGCTCGCCTCGACCGCTTCAGGGTTACAGTCGCTGAACATGGACTGGCTATTACACTGCTCTAGGGCTTGTCCTACTGATCCCTCTGGGAAATGAATGTCTTAATAGGGAACAAGTGGAACTCCAGTGCACATCGCCGTATACTCTGGATCCTCAGCGTCAATAAGACATCACTGCTCCTGTCTTTGGATACTGGATGGTAGTGTCTGGCGATCTCTCAGGGAGGTAGTGAAGTGCTTTTATTGCCGCGATGGTGCTGGTTCACTTGCTGCGTCTTTCGTTCAAACTTTTCCAGAGCCAAATAAGCCTGGGAACCCACCTGGGAGTCTGTAAAGCTTCAACTCTACCGCTCTCTCTGGAATTCTAAACATCTCTCACATTATGGGTTCGTCCGAATTTCCCCTCTATCCGCAGGCTGTGATCGTCCCATTGTTGGCCTTTTTCTCGATCTTCGTGAGCATTGCTCCGCTGGTCCTGCACTGGAAGAATCGTAACCTCCCAGCGTGCTGCCTCATAGGCTGGTTCTTGATATTGAACCTCTTCAACATAACGAACGCCATCATCTGGCCCACGGATGAATCTACAACATGGTGGAACGGGGTTGGGCTCTGTGACATCGAGGTCAAGATCATGATCGCCAGCTACGTTGCGGTACCGGGGGATATCATGTGCATCTTCCGTGGCTTGGCCTGTGTGTTGGACACCAGGCGTGCGACCCTCGTACCCACAAAACAGCAGCGCTGGAGGAATCAGTTCATGGAACTTCTCTTCTGCGTGGCGGTGCCGATCATCGCTATGATCACCCAAGTCTCCTATCAGGCAAACCGGTATATGATCTTCGCCATCTCGGGCTGTGTCAACAGCTTCGACGAAAGCTGGGTGAGCGTGCTACTGGGGTTTATCTGGCCGCCGATTATTTGCTTCATTGCGGCTTATTATTGTGGTAAGTCCAGCGAGACTCAGTTCGACCAGTAGGCATTGTAGCTGACACCCCAGGCCTTGTACTGTACCGTCTGCACAAATACCGAAGCCAGTTCAGCGACATCCTCAACTCCTCAAACAGCAAATTAAACAAGTCCCGGTTCATGCGTCTATTTCTTCTCTCGTTCATCATGCTCATCGCCATTATCCCCGTTCAGATATACGTCCTGTACAAGAACGTCGAAGGCACGCTCCCAGTGTGGCATGCATACTCGTGGGAGCGCACCCACGCCGGCTGGAACATCATCTACAAGGTTCCCAGCAACGGCCAAGCCTTCTTCGACCGCTGGATCCCCATCGTCTCCGGGTTTTTCTTTTTCGTCTTCTTCGGCTGTGGCCGCGATGCCGCCCGAATCTACCGACTGATCCTCAACTTCCTAGGACTGGGTCACTGCTTCGCCTGCGTGCGGACTTCTCCGGCCGGAACGGATGCCTCAACCGGCCACACGGAGTCAAGAGGCAGTCGGGCAAAGTTGCTCTTCCACAAGAAGTGGTCATCTTCAGAACGGTAAACCTTCCCAAACACTCTCCCTTCTTCCTCCTCCTTCTGACACCATTCCAAACCAGAACCTGCATCAACGACCCCCTCCCTACTTTCCGAACAGGCCGGACCAACCTAGAGGAACAAACCGCGCACAACGGAAAGACATCATGGCTCAAATCCCCCTTCTCCGCCCTCCGCCGCTCATACTCCGCCAGTCGCGAGAGGATGATCCCCCTCCCTGCGCTTTCATCGGATCCCACAAGCACAATATGCACCAATGCCTGGGCGGGTACTAGCCATAGCCGCGGCAGTGTCGACTTGCCCAGCACTGCCTCTAACCAAGATATCATCCGCGTTAAGCAGGTGATCAGCCAAGAAAGTGAGGGCGTATGACTGGGAAAATTCCTTGCAAGCTGAATTTCTTTGCTGTGATTTGCCTTTTATTCTAGATCATTCTAGACCACCTAGCGTGCATATATTGTTTTTTTTCTTTTCCCGCTTTCGCCTGTACACAATCACTATGCCCTACCAAGTGGACATATCTACACATTAGATTAATAACGTAGACCAAACCTACACATGCAGACCTCTCGTAAAGCCACTTACCCGCTTAAACAAAGCCCAGCGCGAATTATAACCCCACGTGTACCGTGCTGCTCTCCTACTCTCTCCAAAGATAGCATCTCACTAGTAATAGATGTACTCGCGGCTAACCTAACCGAGCAGACTAAGTACGCGTTGTATATCCACGCGAAAGCATAAACGCATGTTTGTCTGCGGGCGGTATCATCGCCGAGCTAGGTATATACCTACAGTAGTGCTATGCTATGCTATGCTCTGCGCAAAGTCGACGCGAGATGTAATATACAGCATCTTATGCATGTGATATGTCACAATGGTGGTTCGGCTATGATTTCGTCGCGTGGGAAAAGCCAGAAAGAAATAGATAGAAACGGACCAACGGCACACTGGGAGTCTTTCATTCAAGGATATACATATACAATACATGAAATAGACAAAGAACATGCTGTAGCCAACTGTCGGAGGAGCGGATCAAAGGTCGCTGGGTGGGAAGGTCCTTATTCCGGGACGCAAAGATTAGATGGTATAATCAAGTAACGTAGACGCCATTAGATCTGAAGACACCGGCTAACCCGACCAGTCTGACGTCCTTTATTTATTCCTGCTGGGACTCGCCAGATTCGTTGTCAGGGCCCGTATAAGGGCGTTTGAGGACCTCGATGGAGCCTGTACAGCAGAAGGAAAGAGCCACGTTAGTTTCTTGCCCGAGAACACGAAGGAGGTAAGGTCGGCGGGGATATCTCACGTTGGAGGATGCTCAAGGTAGACTGTCTTCTGCCCTCGTTATCTTCCCACTGGCGCATGCTGGCATCGCCTTCGACGAACACGAGGGTACTGGATAGAAGAAGCGGCGTTAGCATTGGCACAGCATCATGATGGAAAGCCCACTGGGTGTGTCTGTCATATTGCACGTCTATGCATGCTCCGCTCACAACGCCCTGCATAGTCCGTCCAAATATAGAAAGATAACCCCAAGACTAAACCACCAGAGCGTGTATCGTACTCACCCCTTGGGCAGGCCCAGCAGGTAGTCCCGCTGGGGACCTTCATTGACGAAGCTGTTGACACGGAACCAGTTTATCGTGCGGTTTTCGCGAGATCCGTAAGTGCTACCGACGGCGTATCGGAGCATTTCCTTGCCGGAGGAGGTGGCAACCAGCTCGGGCTCAGCTGCGAGGCGACCGGTGATCATGATCTTCGCGGCATTGTGGGCGGCGGAGTTGCTGAACGAGCGCGCGGAGAGAGCAGCGGTGGAAGAGGCACGCAGGCCGGGGCGCAGAGAGGCGAGGAAGGCAGACATGGTGATTGTGGGTGGTGTGATGGTATGGGGATGTGATGGGATGGAGCGCGTGGAAGTTTTTCGACGGGGAAGCTTCGATAACAACTCCAGTCAGTCCAGCAGCGGGTTCGATGGACGGGAGCTGGTCCGCGTTCCGGTCATGTGATTGGTGGCAGTTCCAGAGCGGTGAGTCCGTACTGTGTCAATCCAGTCTCGGCCTGAGGCAGACTAATTCCATGACCTGATCGATGGCTGAAGCCGATTCTTTTACATCCAGAGGTCTCTAATTAAAATGCGTTTTTGGTGATATGTCAGTGCTAGAAATCAATTGTCTCCGGACGGCAGTTTCTTGTTTAGAATGCTGTTGTGCTCGTACTTAGACAGTATCCTCTGGTTATACATTGCTCAGATCAGATGCCATCTTCTGATGATATATTTCAACAGACATCGCCAATAATATTGGTCAGAAAATAGACGTCGCAAAAAAGGCACCACTGCCAACTAGATTGGCTAGAACTGGCTAAGATGGGTTCTGGTACAACACCCTGCGATGAGTTTGTTGTAGCTAGGATATATATACTGAACTGCCGCAGCGGCGATACGGATCTCACGACAGATATTGGCATCTCCTTTTCCAGCAAGGAATCATGCTTATCCTTGTTGACAAAAGGGGGTATTGTCTCGTCACTCCACAGCAACACACTCTTATAATGGTATGGGGCATGGCGGATGGACAAAGGCAAGTGCCTCAACAAGCTATACAAGATAACGTTACCCTGAGGGATGGAATCTGCACAGATCCAGGGATTTCAATATGGCACACATACAAAGACAAATTCAATATGCTGTTGAATAAAAAGGACTAGTTTATCCCTTAGCCCACAGGCATCTCCCTACTCGCGCGCATTTCCTGCATCAAGCACCTCCACATTATGCACAGACCCATACGACTCGATCTCTTCCCAATTAGTTCTGTTTGAGACCAGAGGAAGCCGCTTTGATGTTGCTGATTTATCTTGGTAGATGAAGATTGTAGTGTTTCCCTTGTTTGTATGGTATTCCATCCATGCAACGATCTTCGAAGATCTGATGGCATTGAGTAACCTCGGATTCAGGCTTCAGCGACGCCCCTGACGCAGTCAAGCTGTTGTCCCATTCTACCGGCATATGAAATCCGCACAATCCAGGGTCACTTCTCGATCCGGTCCAACGTTTCACTGATTCTGTAGAAATCATGAGGCTTAGTCCAAATTGGGCATGTTTGCTATCCCCGGGAAGAGGCGACACCACAGACAAAGACGGGATCATCCTTGTCCTCTCTGGTCGGGACCAGTCCAGAATTTCGACAGTCAGATCAATAGATGCTTTGTGTAGCCCAGCTCTCAACATACGCGCCCTGATTTGTGTGTAGAAACGAGATAATTGAAGCAGGCGAAGTTCACAGAGGATAGTGGTATGTATGTTGCTGTTTGGGGTATTATAACTTCCTTTCCACCGTGGAAGGTCACACAGTACATACTTATTGGTACGCGCAGTTGCTCGAGGATATCGAGTAATTCGGCGGGAAGATCTCGTGGTTTGCGCTACCCTCCTCCATGCATTGGCATGGTTCGTTCTGAAAATTCAGCAATGTCCCTTACACCTGCCCATTTTCTGTTAGGACACTCCAGTTCCATTTTGAATTTACCCACGGAGCCGGCCCCGGCTGGTCCTGCAAGCGTTTATTGCAAGCGACTCATACAAGATCAGCAAATTGTGGTAATCAAGTCCTTCATACCTTCCCAACTTGAATTAGAAACAGAGCTCATCGTAGGCCGCTCGACTCATTGGCTTCTGGCTTCTGGCCAATTTCGTGTTAAGAGTGAAATACCGTGCGAAACCATCGGATTTCTCGCGGCTCTTGCAGGGTTTTCCGTGAAGAATTGTCAGCCTAGGAGAGTAACCCGACTGCTGGGTAATGGCAATCAAAGCAGACCTCCCCCCTTACATCGACAGGACGCCTGTATTGGGGCATGGGCCTTTAGTTTCTTTCCTTTTGCGTGAAGATTGCCTTGGTTAATTCAAATTGAGGTGACTCGCAAAGTCGGGCTTTGCTCTCAGGATGTACAACAAGGTGTCCTATCCTGGCATCTTCCGTGCTTCTCAGTTGAAGGCTGTCCTATATTAGACCATCATCAATATAAGGGGAGTCAAGCTCTTAGCACCCACTACATAAAGCTCTGATAGCCTGTCGTCTATAGAGGAAGAAACTTTAGTCTCTTTGAACCATTGTGGACCAGTCGCATCTTGGCCGAAACATACACAACTCTCGTCCGAGTCCAATCCGCCGCTGGAACTTGACTCGGGGGCCGAGCACACACTTCTCGCCGAAGTTCTGACCAGGACCGAAAGTATCTAGAACAACAACTGTTCCAGGCTGGTCAATATCCTTGAGCATCATCTCATCGACGCATGTATGTGGACCGATATAGTTCTTGTGTCGGGCTCGAGCATCGCAGTGGGCAGTCGCGTAGTGTTCTAATTCATGATGGACATGAATTCGCCATAATTTATTGTACACCCTGGCGTTGCACTTGAACGATCATCCTGAATACGAAAAGGCGTCACGTCGGGGGTGGGCGTGGATGATGCAACACGCCGGGCATACACTATTAGGATTGGACTGGGTGCTGACTACAGGTGGTTTGAAACACGCATCACCCTCCAAGTCAAGCATGGCATGATGAAGTAGATATTGACAGGTATTTAATGATGTTTACTCACGTAGTCCGTGTTGACATGTCAAGGGCACTTGGAGATCCTCATTCAAGCCTGGAATATCAAGCTGAATGTGCCAGAACTGACAATCATCAATCAATCCTATACTCGTCTCAGTGGGAAATATGACAATAGATAAATAAGCAAATAATCAGTTGACAAATGCATATCTTTATTTGAGAAAATCCTTCGAATTCTATCGCATCGCACCGGATTGGAATCATCGCCCTCGACCCTGCATCCTGTGGAAATGATGACTGAGGCAGGATGGCTCTACGTCAGGTGATTCCACACCGATCACTCGCTTTGACTCGCTTTTACTCGGTGCATCATTCCTTCTCACTTCACGAAACTCAGACCAAGCAATAGAGCGGCATATACTGAACCTTCAGCAGACCGTACTAGACATCCGCTCTCGCTTATCCTCTACCTCTCAATAGACCTGCAAATGCGATGCTTTCGGCTACATATATTGTTCTGTCCTCGTTTAACTTTGGGTTTATGAGACATCCAATCTATATGTGCGGAGTACTTCCCAGACTGCAGCAGGACACGCATCTTTAGTTTAAGTCATTGGACTCTGTTCCTAGTTCTCAGATCAGAAATATAATCCGGACTGAGTTCACCGCTTCAGCCCGAGCGTGCTTTATTGATATCGGCAGCTTCTATCATTGAAACTAGTACATACCTATCCTCGAAAATCCGGCCACCGCAGGATCACTCGATCGATCAGTTGGCAAAAATATGAACTGGCAACAGGGTGGGATGATCTCAAGGGGAAACCGTCGCCCGAGTCAGACTCGACAGCGCATTGCGGGCTTCTGGATATTCGAACCAATCTAATCCTTGAGAATACCCCCCTGGAGGGATGGTGGTCTCGGGTATTAAGTTCCCACTCCCCCATTGTTCAGTGACACTTACCGAACATTGTTGCTTTTTCTTTTTCTTTTCCTTTGTCAGCCCCGGTATGATAGGCGGGGAGCCGTGTCGAGACAAATGAGACGTGTCGGCTCCTGCAGCTGATCACGTCCAGCCTAGCCCAGACTAATTAAATGGTGGCCACTGATGCTGGTCGATCAGCGATATGGCCGATCTGGCTGTCATTCCGTTTCTGAACACGGCCGCCACCATAAATTTGGAATTTGATTCAGGCCTTGGATCAGTGTTGAGGAGGATTGCCCACCCATTGATGATCCCCCCGCCCCACTCCCTTGCCTGTCAGTGTCAATCAACTTGGCCCAACCACGTCAGCGTGACTTCCGTTCCCCGCCGGGTTGCAGAGTTCCAATGCGCATGTGCTGGTAACACCGTAACCATCGCCATTGGGCGATGGAGGTTCCTCGCTCCTCCCAGTCCGTTCGCGTTGGCTCTGACCTGGCATTCGTCTCAAGAATCAGGGTCGAATCATAGGCTGTCGATGACCTGTTCCTTACATACTGAACTTGGCCGACGTATTGGGCGCCATGGATAGAGGCGGGGAGCCTGCCCGAGAAAAAGAAAGTTGAAGAGAACAAGAAATATCTCTCCTGCCAAGTGCTGGCCTGGATCACTATGACTATTTCCGTGATTGGTGACACAGCTTCCCATGCAGATCCCTGTCAAATAATGTCAAAATATCATGTACCGGTACGACGCAGCATGGCGTTGCTTTTTGGGCAAGGCTCTATCAGGTGGACCAGCTCGCATCGCCATGCATTTCCCTAGTGTAGTTTATACCTTGGTTTTTCGAACCCTCCGATTTTTCAGGAAGTTAGCTTCCGACGAGGACTAGGGCCTTGAAGGGTTTTCGCAGGACCTAAAAGATGAATGTCCCTCCCAACGCCAATGCAGCTTTGCTGCCGAAGTATTATATCCTTTTGTTTTATTTCTTTCCCCTCCGTTTGTACATGCACACAGTGGGCCTAGACTGAGGCCCTGCGTGGTCCTCTTGTCGGTTGGATGTTTCTAGCCACGTTTCTGGCAATCTCTTGCGCGTCGTGAATTATATACTGAACAGCTGACCTCGCCACTGTTGATATTGAACTGCATGGTAATATCCTCAACCGCATGTGGACCTAGCCCCCGGGAAGCTCATACAATTGCAAGTCCGATTGCCATTGAATCCAGTCAGGTTAAGCACAACCCCGCCTTCCCCCAACTTGACTGGGTTGTTGCAATTTCCTCTGCTCCTTAAAGATGCGGTTATCACTTGCGCTGGTGGTCATCTATACGGTGTGTGGCCTGTTTGTGCTCGCGACACAGATCTCCCATGAAGCGCTCGGCAATCATGGAGAAATCGCCGATATAGCGCCACGGGCCACAGACTCTGACGCTACCACTGCGGAGCCTACGAAGACAGAGACAGCCTCAGACGAGACTGAAACCGCGTCAAATGAGGAACCAAGCGACCGCGAAACGGCAACGGCGACAGAGAGCACAACGACATCAGCCACTGGCACCACAACATCGCCGACGGAGACCCCCTCAGGACCGGTGAAGAGTGAGTGTACACGGCCTGATTAATACGCGACAATGCTAATGCCCGGCAAGATGAAACGAGCCCCGTCGCACCCGGTTCTTTGCCTTTGAAGCCCGAAATCACACCGGCTCTGGGTATCAGCGGATTTATTCTTTTGACAACCGGCGCAATCCTAGCGCTGATAGGGATACGGAATCTTTGGTAATTCCCCGTCGCGCTGATCTTGCAGTGACAATCGCTTACCGTTCGCAGGGTTCAGGTCTTCCTTTCTACGGCGTTCTTGACCAGCCTGGGAGTAACCGTGAGTCTTCACCTCAAACGTCAACAATGCAGCAAACTGACAAGATGGATGTGAAGGTCCTGATCGTATATGTAATGAACCCACCCGTCCGGGTGGCAGTACAAGGGGCATATCTCGTGGCGGTGTTTTTCACCGGCATAACATTCGGCGCGCTGTCAATCGTGTTCAAAGAACTGACCGAAGGGCTCGGCTGTCTACTAGGAGGATTCTGCGTCAGCATGTGGCTCCTTTCTCTGAGCCCGGGTGGTCTTCTCAAAGACTCGGGTTCCAAGAGCGGCTTCATCGGTGCCATCTCCGTCGGCTGCTACGCGATGTCATTCAGCCAATACACGCGCCCGTGGGGACTGATCGTGTCGACTTCAATTGCAGGAGGCACGGCCGTCGCGCTTGGTATCGACTGTTACAGCCGAGCCGGGCTGAAAGAATTTTGGCTCTACATCTGGGGTACGTTCAATGTATCCGCTTCTGCTCCCCCAGCCCTAACCGAGCAAAACTAGGACTCAACGAAGACATATTCCCGCTGGGAACGAACACTTACCCCGTAACGCGGAACATCCGCGTCGAGCTCGCAGTAACCGTCATCGTCGCCATCCTGGGCGTAATATCACAGCTCCGGCTGTGGAAGATCATCCGCGAGAAGCGCCGCAAAGACGAAGAAGTGCGTCTGGAGGAGCAAAAGCGAGACGAAGAATCGGAAGCCGAGACCGCGCGACATCTAGAGGAGAAAAACATACGCGAGCGCAACGAATGGGAGACCAAGTACGGCGATCCCAACTCCGTGACCGAGCTCCCCGACGACGAAGAGAAATGCCGTGACCCCGCCCAGCTAAATAAAGGGGAAATGCAAAGTATCTCGAGTTCCTCGTACTCCGAGAAATCTCACCGGTGTTCCGACTGTCGGGAGAGAGCCGACAACGGCGAATCCGCATATGCGTCTACTGAATCCAGCAGCAGCAGCGGGTCATCGAGACCAGATACCTCGAGAGGCTCAGTGGACGAGAACGATACTCCGCACGTCAAGGTCTTTGACGGGGCGGCCGCCTCCAAGATCAAGGATGACCGAGCCTCTGAGGTGACCGCTATCCTTGGCTCAGACACAGCTACTATCCGCTCGAAGCGTTTCTCCGGGAAGTCCTTCAATAACCTGAGAAGGATGTCCGTCATGTCCAGAAACAGCATGGGCCAGATCTCCCAGTCTCGAGAGGCGCTGATCTCTCGCGACGATGGCTCCTCCGTCCAGGGTATCGCGGACGAGGCCAGCGATGCTGATTCAGAGGTTCCTACAATGGCTGCGGGGGATCCTCGCGAGATGAAGGATGCCACCGAGGTTGATAGGGAAGGTTCTTCCGTTTACTCCAAGGAGCAAGATGCAGTTGGAAAAGTGGAAGCGGAAGGATCTCCGAAAGATACTGCTGGGGATGGCGACAGTGCAGACACTTTGAAAGACACTTCCAAAGACACTCCCAAGGAAGAAAAAGTCGAACAATCTTCTAATCTTACACCCGATGCGGCGGCCCAGCTCCTGTCAGAGGAGACGCAGCAAACCCCTCTAGACGACAACCCAGCTTCTGCGGACCAAGACAAAGCAGCGTCGAGCAATATCGACAAGGGAAAGGCCAAAGAGGTACTCGCAGAGCCTGAGTCCATTGATAAAACCTCCGAAGGTGTCAAGCAGGAAGATACGGAACAAACTGCGTTATCGGCTCCCAAAGGGGAGGTGAAAGCAAAATCTAAGGAAGGCTCTCGGAAAGAATCTAAAAAGAAGTCCAAGAGAAATTCGAAGAAGGAATCTAGGGAGGTATCTGACAGTGGCTCCAAGGAACCCAAGTTGAACTCCAAGAATGAAGACGAGGGTGAAGCCAGAGAGGAAACTAGCAAAGTTTCCCAAGAGGAGGCTGTGGAATCAAGGAAGGCTTCAAAAGAAACCAAAGGATCTCCAGAAGAGTCCGAGGGACTGAAAGAGGGGCCTAAGGGAACTTCCGAAGAGAATTTCAAGGTCTCTAAGAAAGAGCACAAGAAAGCCAAGAAGCGAAGTCGAGCAGAGCCATCCCCCAAGTCTACGCCAATTGCAGGGCCGGAAGATAAAATCCAAAGTGAGGATTCGTCGGCTGAGAAGAACAAGGCCGCCCAACACAAGTCCAGCTCGTCGGAGGATAGCTCTACGCATGCATCGTTAGACGCCGAAATTCCCCCTCCCCTAAAGCCACGGAAGACCTCATCTTCCAAGGTGAAAGGAAGTGAAAAGAACCAATCTTCTTCGTCATACCCGAAGACTGCGAGCAAGCAGAAGAAAGAAAAGCCCCAAGCACCGCCAAAACTGGATACGCAGACAGTCAATCACTTGCCTCAGCGGTCTTCGAGGGTTGTCCAATGCTATCGGACGAACGAATGGGCAAAACACCTGGCCGACGCGGAAGCCCCAGAGCTAGAACCTATTGAGCCGGTCCATGAGGGCGATCCAGACACCCCAGACGATGCGGGAGAGGCGGCTGCACCGGTCCACGTCGAGGAGCTACTACAAACGCCGCTGAATGCACAGCCTCCGCCCGCTGTCGAACTCCGGTCCCCATTGGCAAGGGAAACTTCTAACGCAAACGAAGACAGCCGAAGGTCTAGCGACTCCCGTCGGCACTCTTCAACAAAGAAACGACGAGGATCTGTTGTACATTTCGTGCCAACGACTCATCTCTCCCAGGTGTCAGTTCCCCAGCCACCGCTCGTGCAAACGATAGCAGATGAGCCAACGCTAGGCGCGGCTTCTCCTCCGGCAGACCCATCCAAAGAGGAGAACCAGTCTGCCAAACCGCAGTGGAAAGGGCCCCCGCCGCTGATTGCGGTGCGCGAGGGCATGATGCGTAATCGGCTGTCCTCGTTCTCGCTCCATGCCGACCCCTGGTCTTCGCGGAGCAGCCCCGGACAGTCACCGATCATGGAGTCTCCGCCCCCGCCCCCTCCAGTCCGACACACCTCCACCACATACCCGCCGATCCCCGAAGAAGCAGACGACCTGCCACTGTCGCAGCGCCGGACGATGCTCCACCAGCGCACCTCGGTGATCAACCCCCTGATCAACCCATTCGTCAACGTTCCGTACCAGCCGCAGCCACGCCGCAGCAGTCAAAACAGTGGTATGTCCCCTGGGACTCAGCCCCCAGCGATGGCCGCATTCCGAGAATCCGTCCGCGAAGACCTCGATGACAAGTACGCCCCTCTCGGGACCACGCCGCCGAAGGGGCCCTCCAACCGCAGCGCCTCGGCCCCGTTGGGACAATCCCTGCGCAATGCCTCATCGCAGAGCATCGGAAGCATGGCTGGCGACATGAGCGATCTCCACCGCGAGGCGATGCGCCGGATGCAGGCGCAAGCGAACCGCAACGTGAATGGCGTGTGACCCACCGTCGCGGTGCCTGCTATGTTTCTGCTGTTGGTTTCTGGGTCTGGATTGAAGATTCCCCGTTTGTTCCGTCGGCCATTCCAGCGATGATTTTCTCCGTTTGTCGAGAGGGGGGAAGGTAATTAATGTGTTGTGATGGGAAGATATACCCTGTATGTTAAAAGTAATTAATCGTCATTGTCCCCTGTGCGTAACTCGACGAACTGTACGGAGTACAAAGTGGGGAGAATGGATGGGTCCAACGCCCCCTCGTCGGAAGTAAATTAATTGAGGGTTCCCCAATGACTCGCAGGCCTGCGCCGCCCCAGGAACCCGAGTCAAACAAGGGAGCGGGAGAGCCAAGGACAACCTAAGCCGCCGTCACGCCAGGGGGCGCCAGAGCGTCCAGACTTACTATTTGGGATCTATTAATCTGAACGGATTTAGCTCATCCTTTCTCTCTGTTTCTTTCTTTCACGCCCAACCTTATTACCAATCAGACCCGGTTAAATCTCTGCGAGGTGAGACCGGGTTGTTTCTTCGGTCGATGGAACGGACTCAGGTAGTGCGAGACTCAGGAGGAGTCCAGAAAACGGTCGATCTGACCTATAAAGATCGGGACGAAGGGCCCGTTTGCGCCTTGTGCGGTAGATTTGAATCCTTACTTGGGCTATTGAACGGTCTGCTTTATTGGCATTGTTGGCATTGATCTCCACTGCGCGTGTTATAAAGGGTTGGTTCCTAGGATTGTGACGGTGACCTTGGACTCATCCTGTCTATTCTCATAAGACTGATCTGTCTTCCAACTGAACAGAGGAATGATCACTGTCCATCGGATCGAATATAGAATTCAAGATCGGTGCCTGATCCCTTGATGGTGCGCTCAGGCCAACGTTGGCCCCTTTCCGTGCGCCCTCGGCCAATCAGAACACGCTCTCCTATCCCGCTGAGTCAGCATCTCCTCCATCTGCTTTTGCTTCATCTTTGGGCTCTTCTCCTTCCCCCTCCTTCACCACGGCGTTCCCCGAGTCTTCCTCTTATTTCCCACCTCTCGACCCGCTATCTCCCTTGTCGGAAGCGGCGTCGTTCTCGTCCCCCTCGAATCGGTATCATCAACGGGTTCGTCCCCCGCCCGAAACCGCTGAGGCTTCGTGCTCTCGCCTGCCCCCGCGCGGTACCCGACAGTCGCGCCGTCGCTCGATCGAGTGCCACTCGGTATCATCCTCGTTACGCACGTCCTCCCGTGATCCCTCTCTTCCGCGGCGCAAGAAGTCTTGGGTCTCGTCCACCCCGATCCTACGGCCTCCCGCCGTCCGACTCGCCAACCCCGTCAACTACGTCCCGCGGATCACCCCCGTCATCGTTCCCACCCACGCGCCCTTTGATATCTCCGACGAGGATCTCCCGCTTGAGTCGCATCGGGACGCCCATCCGCTCCTGTCGATCCCCGAGCGGCGTCGCAGTCGAATCACCCCGTCGCCGAACAGCCTAGTGGTGGAACGCAGCCAGGGGGAGACCGAGAGCGGCCGCTCCAGCATCGCCTTGCCTCGACGGCAACGGAGGCACAGTGGCGCATTTGCACGCGACGACCGGTGGGCCCCAGAAGAGATGTCGGCCCCTCATGCGATGAGTCCGGACACACAGGGCTTGCGCCCGCCGGACCGGGCGCATCTGGGCGCGGAGCTTCCGGCCGGTCCCCCGGGGCCGCCGCTAGAGGACCGCCCGCGACACGTTGCGTCGCAGGCCTCGCTCCGGTCGAATGCCCCGATCGCATCGATCCCGTCCCACACGGCCCCGGTCGGCGAAGCCGACGTCGCGGAGGAACTGGCCTGGGGACCCGCCCATCCGTGCTTCCCGCACTTCAACCCGCACGTACCCATCGGATCGCAGGAGTACGAGACGACTCGGATTATCCGCATCCGCCGCGACTGGATGATCAAGGGCGATCTGGCCCCGACGTTCTCCAATCTGTATCCGGAAATCCTCGACCCGCTCATCCCCGACCAGGAATTCCGCCGGATCATCGGCACCGTCAATGACGCGCTGGTCCAGGCGTTCGACCCGTTCAGCCTGCGGAACTGGGTGGACGGGGTGGTGGGATTGTTGACGGGCTGGGTGTGGGAGGATCTCGGGGCGCCGGCCGTCAAGAGTCACCTCCAGCGGGTGGAAGACTGGCTGGAGAATTGGAACCGAGAAGTGGGTGAAAAGGACGGGGTGCATATCTGGAGTCTCCGACGATCAGCGTACATGAGCTTGGATATTCAGATTCCCGATCCCAAGGTGGGCATCATTCCGACGCAGTCCATTGCATCGCGGCCGGGGAGTGCGATGTAAATTCTCTTCTTTCTTTCTGCTCTTTAATATCCCCTTTTGTCTTTCTTCCTGTTCTCCCTACTTCTTCTCTTCTTCCCTCCTTCCCTTCTTGCTAGAAAACGGCACGATACCAGCTCTTGCGTCGTTTGTGCTTGTTGCTATGATGTTCACGTTCTTGGAGATACCATCCGTGCGTTTTGAAACCCCTGAGTTGATCTGATTGATCTTTGTCTATAATTTTATTCTCTGTGGATAATTACTGCGGATTAAATAGTATTTATTATATTTCCCAAACAATCAATTAATTGAGAAAGAGTAATACATATGGAACGAGTAGAGTAGGTGGATCGAAATCAACTGGACGAACCGCCGAAAGCAGTAAGCAGAGCTCTCCACCGATCGTCCACCAACTTCCCCGACCTCGACTCCTTTTCTTCCATTCTTCCCCTCCACCTCCCCTCCCCTCTCCCCTCTCCCCTCTTCCCTTTCTCCCATGTACAAACCCTCATATTATATCCTCCAACCATGCTCTCCGGGATCCTCGTCTTCAACCAGAAAGGCGAAAACCTCATCTTCCGCGCCTTCCGCAGTGATTGTCGCCCGCGCCTGGCCGACATCTTTCGCATCCAGGTCATCTCCAACCCGCAGGTGCGCTCGCCTATCCTGACGCTGGGCTCGACCACCTTCAGCCATGTCAAGCACGAGAATATCTACCTGGTCGCCGTGACCAAGAGTAATGCCAATGCCGCGCTGGTGTTTGAGTTCCTTTACCGGTTGATTATTCTGGGGAGGGGGTACTTCGGGAAGTTTGATGAGGAGGCTGTGAAGAATAACTTTGTGTTGATTTATGAATTGTTGGATGGTATGTCTTTTTTCCATATTCTACGGTTGTTTGCCCGTGGAGATAGGAATGCTAATGAATTAGAAATCCTCGACTTCGGATACCCTCAAAACACCGAAACCGACACCCTCAAAATGTACATCACCACCGAAGGCGTCAAATCGGCCATCGCCAACCACCCCACCGACTCCAGCCGCATCACGATGCAGGCGACCGGCGCACTCTCCTGGCGCCGCTCGGACGTCAAATACCGCAAGAACGAAGCCTTCGTGGACGTCATCGAGGACGTGAACCTGCTCATGTCGGCGACAGGAACGGTCCTCCGCGCGGATGTCAACGGCCAGATCGTCATGCGGGCGTACCTGTCCGGCACGCCCGAGTGCAAGTTCGGTCTGAATGACCGCCTCCTCTTCGACACCGACGGGACCAACGCGGGGCCCAGCAGCGGCGGCGGAGCGGTGAGCAACAACCGGGCGACGCGGGCGACACGGGCGGCAGCGGGGTCCGTCACGCTGGAGGACTGCCAATTCCACCAGTGCGTGAAGCTGGGGCGGTTCGACGCCGACCGGATCATCTCGTTCGTGCCGCCGGACGGCGAGTTCGAGCTGATGCGGTACCGGGCGACGGAGAACGTGAACCTGCCATTCAAGGTGCACCCGATCGTGCGGGAGATCGGAACCACCAAAGTGGAGTATAGCGTGGCGATCAAGGCGAACTACAGCCCGAAGCTGTTCGCGACGAACGTGGTGGTGCGGATCCCGACGCCGCTCAACACGGCCAAGACGACGGAGCGCACGTCGCAGGGTCGCGCCAAGTACGAGCCCGAGCATAACAATATTGTCTGGAAGATCGCGCGCTTCTCCGGCGGCAGCGAGTATGTACTCACGGCGGAGGCGACGCTGACGAGCATGACGCATCAGAAGGCGTGGAGTCGCCCGCCGCTCAGTCTGTCGTTCAGCCTGCTCATGTTCACGAGCAGCGGGTTACTGGTGCGGTATCTCAAGGTGTTTGAGAAGAGCAACTACAGCAGTGTGAAATGGGTTCGGTATATGACGCGAGCGGGGAGTTATGAAATTCGGTATGTCCCTTTTTTTATTCCCCCCATATTCATCAAATCCACAGACACTAACGAGGGGCCCAGATTTTAATCTCTCCACCCGGACCTACTCTTCCTCCATCTCATCGAAATCACATCACATCACATCTACATACCTCAGCGGGGCACGGTGTTTGGCGTTTGGTCTGCTTTAACCCTGATATCAACATTCTTTCCTTGACTATGTGCATTGCTGTATCTATATCTGTCTGTCTGTATATTGGTGTGTGGCTGCATCTATCCACCACATACTACATACTCAACATAATTGTGCATTTGCAATCATTGGATTGCTTTATCTAGACCTTCATTTCTTGTACTATGGCCGCTTATTTGCTGTGGGCACAGAGTATATTTAATACTGTATATACTCACAGGAGCTACATAAGAGAAAGAAACTATCACCATACTGAGTAGACCATGGACGGTTTATCGTACATTTACCACCTAAATTCCTCTCAAAATAGATATATGTATAGGTAGGTCAAAATGTAAAGAAGTAGTAGTAATATATGTAATGATCAACACAACCGGTGCAGTAAGTGGCCTCTGGCCTATCCATAGGTATTAATCGGTTCTCCAATCGCAGATTCAATCAATCAATCAATAGACCAACCAACTAGCCAGCCAATTGGAGAGGAAATGAAATGAAGAATATAAGAAAGACAAGATCAGAAGAGAAGACAGGATAAGAAGGGAAGAAAGAAAGAAGTAACAACAGGGGTAATAGAAGCATGTGCAGGACAAAACAAAGGAAAGATAAGTCAATCCACAAGACAAATAAGGAAAACTCCGTCATCCATCCATCCCATATCCCATATCCATAGATTACATCATGTCGCGATGAGACAAAAACAAAAGGAATAAAAAATACAAAAGAAAAGCCAAAAAAAACAGCCAGAGAAAAGGAAAAGAAAAAAAAAAAAAAGGCTCCGGCTGTCAAACAAACATCAAACCGAAAGTCAAACAAAGATAGAAATACAGTAACAATCACAGAAGAAAAAAAAAAAAAATATTACATCCACATCTCATCAATCCTCCCCCTCGTCATGCGTCTCCCACGACGTAATCCCACGTTCCCATCGCCCACAAGCGCCTGCCACCTTCGCCCCACACTAGCCTGGTCCAGACCCATGCGCGCAGCACACTCGTCCCAATCGCCCCGCGACAGCTGAAACTTCTCCAGCACGACCTGCACGAGGCGCTGATCGTCATCTGCGGACCAGTCCGGGACGGGGTCTGGGCCTGTAGGCGCGGACGACGACGGCGGCGTCTCATCTGCTTCCTCGATCGAGGGCAGTGCGGCGTCGGGGTTGTACGGCGCGGTGCCGTCGTCGTCAGCGGCAGCATTATGATTTCGCTGAATTTGACGACTGATGGCGGGCGATGGAGGGGACTGGGTGATTGGGGGAGAGTGGAGGGTGTAAAAGTCGGATTGGGAGAGGCCTAGTGGGAGGTCGTAGGGGACGTGTCTGGGGCGTTTGGGGGTGGAGAAGCGGATGCGACGATGGCGCATGACGTCGGAGTCTTGAGACACTTCTTCATCGTTGTCGTCTTCTTCGCAAGAATCGCGGCGGCGTTTGTTGGTGCCGCGCGGAGGGGGAGATTGAGGAGTGTGGGAGGGTTTTCTGGGTCGGAGGGTGATGGTGGTGGTGGCGACGGTGGATCGTGGCTGTTGTTGGGATGAAGGATGGGTCTTGGGCTTCCGCGACCGGGCGGAGGGCGTAGATCGGATTTGGAGTGGACTTTGCAGACGTTGAGGTTTTGTTCGTCGCGGAGAGGGCGAGGGCGATCGCAGAAGGGACTGAAGTGCGCGACAGGTGCCCAGGAGACCGTTGCCTGGGGGGGAGTCATCGTCTGACGGGGGCGGCGTGGTCAACAGACGGCTCGGAGTGAAGCGCGAACGGCTCACAGGCCGGCGCATGTCGCATTGTAAAGCCGATGGGAGTAGCATGGTTGCGCAGAGAGTTGTATTAGGGGAAATGTATTTGCGAAAGAGTGAAAGGTCGATAAACGAGAGTTCGGCCTGCTGGGAGTGGTGGTTGACAGGCGGTTTGTGCGCCAGACCGCGCGCTGCGATTTGCGCCGGAGGACGTTTGGTAGAGAACCAGACGAGTTGGGAGGTTCAAAACAAGTAGACGGATATCCTGACAGCCAGCGCTTCAATCTGGACAAATTCCGAGTGATGCGACGGGTGGGTGGACTAATAAGTTGGATGGATGAATGAAAGATGGTGGTGGAAAGAGAGAGTGGGTTGACTGGATTGACGCGGGTGGCCGATAAGTCTAAAAGGGAAAAAAATTAAAAAAAAAAAGGAGAGTAGTGCAGGCACTAGTGGTGACTAAGACGGAATAGTGTTCGGGCACAACGTTATCGCTTTTTCGTCCCGCAAACGGATCAAGAATTCTGGGTCGAACAATAGATGATTAAAGCGATGGAATAAATAAAATATGGAAAGTATGGTTCGGCTGGTTTCATCCATCAGATGATATCATCCATTTGAAAGAATGACGACACTGCAGGATCCCAAACACACTACTGCAGACGCACACTGAATGAACGGCGACGACACCTGAGGCAGTGTTGCGCCCAAGGAAGAACGAAAGAACGAAAGAAAGAAGAGAAAGCAAACAATGAATGACTGATACTAGCGAGTGACTGTTGCCCACATTCTCTTCATGAGACAGAATTATAGGGTGTTGAGCTCCTTCTCCCTCTTCTACTCTCCTGGATTCAGGGAACCGTCCACGTTAAGAAGCACTCTACAGATGATATCCTTCCCCTCCGGTAGACCACGGGGCTTGGTCATCGTGCTGAGACAGGCGGAAAGGAGAGTCTACAGAGGGGTATATGAAGCAAGGTATCGACATCGGAGAAAACAGACCCAGCCCTTCTCCACCAGGCTGGTTCCTTGCGACCTTTCCTTTGTACTGGGATAGATCAAGGCCCGTGCCCGTCTTGCAGCCCGACAAAGGATGCGGGGGGTGAAGATCTTGCATATCCTGAAGACTGTAGATACTACTCCGTACTCCGTACATCTAAGCCCCAACCGACTCTTCAAAGACAGTTCAAAGACGGTATCAAAATGATGTCTCGTGATTTTCTCATATTCCCTAATCCGGTTATATTGAACGCGAACGCGTCGCGGTTGCGCGTTGCAACGCGCCTCGACACGACCGCGTCAGCCAATCGGCACCGTCCCTCAGACCCGCACGGTGACGTGCCTGAGGTTACAACGGGGAGTGGTGCCTGAACATCATCCACTTCTCTCTCGTCTCCACTTTCGATCCCCTCACTAGAGTCACTACGCTGGAACTGGAACGATCCAATCGCCTATCTTATCGAAGATAGGAACCCCCCTGCATTCCAGTCAAGGACAATGCAGCTGGTGGCTGAGGCGATGTCCCTGTCCCAGGGATTCCGCCCTTTGCAGTTGACGAACCCCGTCCATGGTTGATGGGGCCACTGTGTCTGACGTTGGATATTCCTCCGGGCTGCATTGCATGATCATGTCTCCGTACGGAGTAGGTCCACGGTTCATGCAGTATATTCTACGACGATGTCAAGGTTCTAATGCCGTGGAGATGGTTACATTGGCATAAATATCTGACCCACATATCGTTTTGTCCATGGTCTATCGTGACCTTTTCACAACTAGACACCCTCCACGCCAAGGGAGACACCATAATCAAGGGCGTCATGGTCAAACGACCAGCCATGAACCGGAGGACACCACCCACACCTTTTCCGCGCAACCAGTCGCCGCAATTGGACTCCCTCTCAACCGACTCGAAACCCCCAGGCGACCCAGCCCCCGAAGGTCGACGCAAGGGGGTCGGAAAAAGACTCCTCACCCACTCAAATTCGCCGACGGTGGAGCTCCGCCCAAGGGCATCCATCTTGATGCAGCCGCTGTGCAGCTGACAGTTAGATCCTTGTATAGTTAGCCATACTCGACGGTGGCTGGGTCAGCCCTTGTCTATCATGGGATACTCCCACCTTTGCTTTGTCACTCACACGCAAACACGAGCACACGCTCCTCTCTATCTGGTTGGCCAATCCATTGAGGACACACTATCCCTGGGATATCTCCTTGTTCCATCGAGTCGTCTTCTGGGTCAGCGTAACTAAATATAGGATCTCGCGTACGCACTCTCTGGAAACACTCCATTCGCCAGATTGCGCAAGAGGTCGAAACAGCACTGCCTTCATGACCTACTAACAAAGAAGTACAAATCAACTCACGTAAGAAAAAAATAATAATCAATCCCCCTGTCCCCATCGTATGTCTTTTTCGGCGTAGTAGTAGGTCAAGTGACCGGCCTCAACCCGCTAGACACCTAGGCACTGCCTAGGTACGTCTATTGTACACCAACTCGTTCGCCCATTACGCATCGTAACGTCAATGTCTCGGCCGTTCTCCTTCCTCTGTCCCTTTATAAAGGCCTGGTACTTTCTCAATTTGAATTAAAATCAAAAATAAAATAAAAAGCCGCTTTGCTCTTTGCAAACCAAGATCTTATGACGCAGCTCAGACCCAAGGGAGGGAGGGAGGGACGCTTTTTTGACCCCTTGTACTTGCCACCGTACTAAATCCATCTACGTCCATACGTTATCCAGCTTTACAGAGTGAGGTCACTACGATTTGCAATTACGTTCAAGGGGCTCGTGTCTCTTGCAAAGGACTGCTTTGCTGGGTTCTAATTTGAGTTACCGTTTGACTCCAGTGTTCTAAGGGTGTGTATTGTGGATCTCTTCTGTGTACTATACTCCCTACCGTCCTGGCGGTGTATGTATGTCCCTCAATTGAGTTTCTTTCCGTGGTATGCATGCAGCCTGTCATGCAGGGAAATCTGTCTGTCTACAGGCTGTGGGTAGATCTGTCGGTTAGGAGGTCGTAGATGGCTTGTTTTCGAGTATAAGTGGGTAGGTAGTGAGTACTATGTTGGACTTCTTGGGCTATTCTATTGTCATGGTATCTGGTTGATCTCGCATATGAAGATCTCTTACATTACAGGCACCATCCCTTGTCAAGGCTTCCCATAAGTTTCAGGATGTTTTGAAATATCATCATCCTCGCCACAAGGTGAAAGGAATGGAACAGGGAAATAAAATAAATGCATGGAAAAAAGAGACAGAATCGGAAAGGGGAGTCGAAGTCCACCACATGTTTTTTGCTCAGCGGTGACGACCTACACTCGCCTCAAAATCATAACTGGATGGATGGCTCATTCTCGTGGAATAGCTGCGAAGGGGATTCGATCATGGGCACCAGTCCCTCTTCTAACTCCGTGTCCTGTGACTCAACACTTCTCTCATCAGTCAGTCTCGCCTCAAATGCCCAATATTGTGATTCGGATTCAAATCCTTTCTGGCTGGCTGGGGGATACCACGACTCTGTTAGGCTGCGGTCGAAACCTCCAGTTATCTCCAGTTATCCGTCGTGGAGGGAGTTCAACGTCCGACAGTGTCTGGGATGGCTGCTGCCCATGTGGTGGGTATGGGGTCTCGTCAAAAAGGAACGACTCTGTGCTTGTTTCGCTTGATAGCTGGTCTTGCTCCTCGTCAGGTTCCCTTCTTAAGACAGGTGGTAGGAGCAGGTCGGAGAGTGTGGGCGATGGCGCTGCGTGACGAGAAAATACTACCTCGTCTTCGGAGGAGGTAGACAGACACCTCCTCGGACCAGACGGTATCCGATCCGCCTCGGTACACCCTTCCCCGACACGCTCGGTGCCCTCAATGCTAGCATTGAACCCCTCCGCCTGGACAAAACTTTCCAGATCAACTATCAGCGGCCCGTCCCGTGTCCGTGGCTTCCAGCCTTTAGTCGACCGCTGGTAGACGTCTTTGAAAGCGGCTAGATGAGAGCAGTTCGTGAACCAGCAGTGCGATAACGCCTGCTTGACGTCCATACGTGCTGTCTCGTCGAAGAGCAAGAGTCTGCAGATGAAGTCTCTGGCCCTGTTACCAGTTTGACTGAACGTTAGGTCGGATTCGATGGACTTGCTGAGCGCCAGCTGCACGTCTGTGAGTGATGCGTTGAACGGTGGGTGTCCCGTGAGGAGGGTGAATGTCACCGCGCCTAGGGACCACATGTCTACGGCTTTGGTGTAGCCTTGTCGGCTGCATTGGAATACCTCCCTGTAGCTGGTTAGTTTCTTTCTCTGATCCTTGTTCCGTGTGTATCGTCTAGGTTACTCACGGGGCGCTGTAGTCGACAGTACCGACCATAGTCGACATGCGTCCTACCCGCGGTTGCACAATCCTAGCGCATCCAAAGTCAGTGAGTACAATTCTTCCTCCTTCCTCCAAGGAAGTCATGAGGATGTTGTCTGGCTTCAGGTCACGGTGGACTATGTTCCGCTGGTGGAGGTATTCCAGCGCCTTCAGCACTTGTCGAACTATGACTGCCGCTTCGATGTCGCAGAGTCGTCCGCCCTTGTATTGGATGTAGGAGAACAAGTCTCCCGCTGTTACCAGATCCTGGAAGATATAGCTTGCTTGTCAGCGACGTCTTGGTTCGACGCGACACATGGTCTTACATTGTGCTGCTCGATCGAATCACCTTCTCAATACTGATTATGTTCGGCTACTGGCGTTAGAGTATCCATGAACAGCCAGCATGTATACTCACATGGCTAAGACCCTCCAAAATCTTGGCCTCCCGATCATAGACCTCCAACCTCCGCCGCAGATCTCTCGATCGCTGTCTTACCTCTCGCGCAGCAAACACCCCACACTTCGACTGCGGGTTCTGCTGTCCATGTTTCTGGAAGAACCCAGAAATCTGCTCCCCGTCCTGCACAGCTAGCTTATCCCTCACATTCCGCAGGTCAATAATCTTACACGCCAGCTGCTGCCCGGTCTCCTTGTTAAACGCCATATAAACCTTCCCGTAGGCACCGGAGCCCAGCACACGCTGCGTAATCGTATACTTATCTGCGAAAGCCTGCACACTCTATCAATCAGCTGCTACACCCGAAGTCGGAGGGACAATGTCAACGAATAACATCCACCTCAACCCGCTGCAACGTTCTGAAACCCGTCGGGATGTTATCCCCATCATAGCGATAGCGAATATGCACCCCAGACGGCAGCATCAGGACGTCACCGTCGCTAAGCAGGAAGCTATCGCGATTGTAACCCATCGAGAACCCGTTCCAGCGCGTGCCGTTCATCGAGAGGTTCCGCGCGTATACCAGTGGGGCTACTTCTTCCGGATGTTCCCTGTCGTAGATGATCGTGTATATCTCGATGTGGGTGTTTGACACGACGGGACTCTTTATGACGATCTGGCTGCGGCCGGTCAGTGTTCTTGTCTGGGGAAGGGTGGGAGGAAAATGGTACGAACCATTGCTGAGGGTCTCGGCCTATGAGGATCTTTTCTTGGCTGAAGAGTTGAAGATAATCGCTGCCGCTGTTGGTTTGGGGGTTCCATTCTGAGAGTGTGCCGACTAAGAAGCCGGCCTGGGAGATGGATGGGAATGACATTGACTTGGGCTTGCGGGTTGGTGTTTCGTGGAGATTGCTGTATTCTATTGTTGTGAGAGATGCGATAGTCTAAGAATGATGTCGATGATACTGGGAAGAGGTATATTCCACTGGAGGGGCGAGGTCCCAGTGAGGTGTAGACAAGTAAAAGGAGAATATTGTCGCAAGCTCCAGAGGTGTCGGTCACCTGCTGTCCAGGCCACCCTCTACAGGGACAAAGAAATTAGGTAGATGTTTTATATGCAGATGTTACATCACTTCTTTAATGTGCCTCGTCAATACAGCACCACATTTGCAGTCATTATCATTTATTCATACTGTCTATTACTACGACTGCTGCATGCGACGAAAGCGCTCTTCAGCAGCCCTAGCCCGACGCTCCCTCTCCAAACGCATCCTCATCTCCGGCGTCATTCCCCGCATCTCTTCCTCTCGCCTCTCATTAGCCGTCTTCTCGACAGATGCTAGAGTGCGGCCCGGTCTCTTCGATTCCTGCGACGCGGCCCTAGCGGCATCTTCCCGCTTCAGTCGCTCCATCTCCGTCTTTCGCCGGTTAGCCTCATCCTCTTCCGCGGTCTTCTTTTCCCTCTCCATTCTACTCTCGGCGTCGGTCTTCGACATCGGCGACGGGACCTTGGCAGCGTCCCAATCCCACTTGGACTCGCCGATTTCGTGGCGTGCAACGCGGAACGCATCTCGGGTGGCGCGGTCTCCCGCAAGCTCGAACGGCGTTTTCCCTTCGCCGTTGGCCGTAGTGGGATCCGCATCTGCCTTCAAAAGAAGGGCAGAGACCACGGATGGCGCGTTGAGATTGGAAGCGAGGTGGAGTGCAGTCGGAGCTCGGAAGTTTTGCTGCGAATCAGACGGCAGGAATGTAAAAGAGGACGGGATGGAGTTTTTAGTGAGATATGACATCAGCGCTGGGATTTTGGAGCGACGGATGAGGGCCTGTATTTGGGTGGTGTGCAGCATAGCAGCTTCCTCCTCCTTGGAGAGCTTGGGCTTTTGCGGTTGCGGTCGGGGTGTTGATGGTTTGGAGGTTTCCTCTTGCTGTTTGGCCTCGGCTGCTGCCAGAGCCGCTTGGTCCACCTGGCTGACTTGCACGCGGGTGAGTTCCTTGAAGCATCGCATGAGCTCCCCCTGGGTGGCCCGACGAGTGCTGAACGGAAACCCTCTCAGTCGCGGGTCATTCTGCTTCAACACCTGGCCGTCGTATTGGCCGAATAGAATCCGCCGGTTGGTGCTGCCCGTAGCCCGAACGAAAAGCATTTCCGCACTGTCGATCTCTCCGCGCCAGTCTTTCAACAGGTCCCTGACTTCTTTCTCCAGGGCAGCCTCGTTATACCGTCTCAGACTAGAGCCCGCAGAGTGTGCTGCTCCTCTGGAAGCGTCACTGGCTGACTGCGAGCCACCCTGCTTCCTCCTCGTTGTGTATCGGTGGAATGTCTTGTGCGCAATCACCCGAGCTTGTCGTTCCACAAAGCCGCCCTGTTTGCGTTGAATCTCCGGGGCCAACGCTACGATCATTGCCGCAAAATGGCCACCACCGATCATGCACATGAAAAAGTGCGGGGTGGATGACGGTGAGCCGCCCTGGCTCTGGTTGCCGTTTTTCTGCGGGTCGATCGGAGTAAGTTGTTTCTTCTTCAGCGTGTCGACAAAGTATGCAGGCTCATCTTGCTCTGCGTTGGAAAACAATGCTCGGTAGATGCCCAACGAGTAATTGGGAGGAAACAAAGAGCTTGAGAACCAGAAGAGTGGATGTTTCCCCCCACTCCTCTTCTTCGGGGCCTCTTCATCTTCCGCTGTCTGAGACAGCTTAGCCTGCTTTTTCAACAAGCTCGCAAGCTGTGAAGGATCCTCCTCCTCCGATGACGACGACTCAGACCCGGAGATTGACTCGTCCATTTCACCGATGGCCTTCATAAACTGTGCCTCATCCAGGGTCTGGTTGCCTCGCAGTTGCGCCTTGGCGTTATATCGGTGATGATCGGAGCGCACATGGCCCCGCTGTTCTTGGACGTTGGAGAAGGTCACCTTGCAGAGGGAACACGACGTCGACGAAGCAATCGCAAGTTCCTGCGCCGCATCTGCAGGTGGTTCGGCAGTCGTTTCCACATTATCCTTGGGGGCGATGGCCTGGCCTTCTCCTTTCGTGGTGAGAGTCGCGAGGACCTCCTCGGGGAGATCGTAAACTAGTAGGCAAAAAGCATCACATCAGCATGGCTCTTCCATAAGAAAGGCAACGTTTACTCACCGTATAGAGGCCGTTTCAAGAGATCCTCCGAGACAACGGTATCTGCGACCATCTTGAGTCCAAAGTTCAAAGAGTGATGGTATCAGACCAGGTTGTTTAAGTCGCGGCGGCAAAATCCAAAATGATCTCTCTGGGTTGGACTGACCGCCCTGGCCGCGGGGCTGATAATGATATGAGGTAACAAGCGGATTGGAATTGTGGGGATTCAATTATCCTCGTTGGTTTTGGTGTCCCTGGGGTAACAATTATTTATTTTACTTTTCCACTGCATCCTCAATACGAGAATCCATACTAGTGGTCCATAGTTGAGTCACACTGTTCAATAATATGCCTTACCTTGCCACGCCAGGGTGCCTGAATGACACACTCGGCAGTGAGTCATTGTCCTATGGCGACGCCCGATGCGGACCCCGGTCTTTACAGTTCCATCTACCTATTTAAAACAAACACGGAAATGAAATCAAATAAAATCATAGAAAGAAGACTGTATCACCCCACACAACAAGCGCATCGGGAAGGCCAATCAATCGAGCACGACCCGCAGGACGTCGCGATGCGGTGCTAGAAGGTATTGGCATGCTGCCATGCACAGGGACCAAAACCCCACAATAATTCGAGATTTTGTGTGACGGCGAATCCTTGGGCTCTCTTGTGTCCTTGTTTGCAGTTATGAAGGTACAACGTGGGATTGATAGGAAATCTGGTCACCAATTGAAGGCAGGAGTTACAGTCCGACTCCGAATCTGACGACGTCGCACACCCGAGTCTATTCACGATCTGCCATGGGGTTCTTTTTACTTTGAAACATCTGCGTTATAGTTCGAGGGAGCTCAAGGGTTGAGCTGTCAAATGTGACGGGCTCATCAAAGTAACATATCCAGAGCTCAGAGGCATTACATCATCATCATCATCATCATCATGAGTGACGGTCTATGGTATATCACAACATAGCTATGCTTTCGATATACTACTTCAAGACTCAGGACCATACAAGAATCAATCTACAATCTTGGGCTCCTAGCTCAGTAAACGGTTAAAAAATATAGATAGTGTGGACGATCTTTCCCCAAAGTAGTATAAAAAAACCATCGATGCCAAGACTGGAGCCTGCTGGAGTGACCCATGTCATACTTCACGATGACCAGACATGATAGGCAAGAATGGCTCCCATGTGCTTCAGAAAAGCCAAAGAATGCAAAAGAATCGATAGCAATTAGTAATCTCTTGGACCTGAAGAGCTCCCCCGATCGGTAAATCCGTTTCCAATAAGCCCTGCTTATCCCCGAAAGCTTTGGCCGTTGATTTAGTAAGCCGGCTGCAGCTAACGGTTAGTGCCGCCCTCGTTGTAGTGGTGGACTCGCTCCTACAAAAGAAATGAGACCTCCGCCTTTCCTCCCTTCGCGTCCGCCTCTTTTCTCTTTGGACTGATCAATGTTCCTACCCCCTTCTTTCTGCTCCCTTTACTCTCTGAAGTGGGTCATACAGACCAGGGATCTATGAACCCGGGGGGCATGATGTTGAATGGCAATTCCCAGGTGATCCTGGGAGATTCCCGCCCCGGATCCTTACCGTCGTCGACTCCAATCTCAGCATTCCAACCCCGCAAGCTACAGCCCTTCTGTGGCGATGTGGAAGGCTGGGGCCCTATCAGTCAGCTGCGATTCGACCTGACGCCATGCTTTCTTGACTTGACTTTGGCCATCGTCGGCCTGTGGGGGGTGCTGATGGGTGCCGGCGCGATCTGGTTCTTGTTCCGAAAAAAGATTCCCCAACCGGTATCGACGAACTGGCATTTCTTCGCCAAACTGGTATGTTGATGATCTCCGTTCTGTTTTTGCGCGCATTTCTGGTCAACATGGGGACTGACGGGGACCGCGTTTTCTGGTGATCAGGCCGTACTCGCCGCCATTATCTTCACCACCGCCCTCGAAGCGGCGCTGCAAATCGAAACCTACACGCGTGTTTGGTGGAATGATATCCGGTTCTGGAGCTCGATCCTGGTGCTGCTTTCCCTGTGCGTGATCTTCACCGTTCAATACTACGAACACTGGAGAAGTCGACAGCCCAACGGGGTGGTTCTCTTCTACTGGCTTTTCTTCTGCGGCGCGTACGGCGTCAAACTGCGGTCGCTTGTCGATCGGCACGCCTGGGAGGACCGACTGCCATACTTTGTTAGCTTCAACGTGAGCTTGGGACTGGCGCTGGTGGAGTTCGTCTTGGAATACTTGGTGCCGAAAAAGCAGAGTGACTACGATGCTCTGGGCGATGAGCATGAATGTCCCTACGAATATGCGGACATTTTCTCCGTACTGAACTTTAGCTGGATGACACCGATGATGAAGTTCGGATACACCAACTTCCTGACCCAGGATGATCTGTGGAATCTTCGCCCCGGCGACAGCACCCGCGCCACCGGAGGCAACCTGCAGGAGAGGTGGGACGAGGAACAGGAGAAGAAAAAGCCCTCCCTCTGGTTGGCTCTTTTCAAGGCCTTTGGAGGTCGCTATATGCAGGGTGCCATGATCAAATGCGGAAGCGACGTACTCGCCTTCATCCAGCCGCAGCTTTTGCGACTCCTCATCGAGTTCATCAACACGTACCGGACTCCCGAGCCCGAGCCAGTGATTAGAGGTGTTGCCATTGCGATCGCCATGTTTGTCGTTTCGGTGACCCAGACGATGTGCCTCCACCAGTATTTCCAGAGGGCCTTTGACGCCGGCATGTACGTCAAGTCCTCGCTGACGGCTATGATTTACGCCAAGTCTTTGAGGCTGTCGGGCGAGGGTCGCGCTTCGAAAACCACGGGTGACATTGTCAACCACATGGCGGTGGATCAGCAGCGACTGTCCGATCTGACTCAGTTTGGCATCCAGCTGTGGTCCGCGCCCTTTCAAATTACCCTCTGCATGCTGTCGCTCTATCAGCTCGTCGGACCGAGTATGTTCGCCGGTATCGGGGTGATGATCCTCATGGTCCCATTCAATGGAGCGATCGCGCGGATGATGAAAAAGCTCCAACTGACCCAGATGAAGAACAAGGACTCCAGGTCGCGTCTGATGACGGAGATTCTCAACAACATCAAGAGCATCAAACTCTATGCCTGGAACACGGCGTTCATGAACAAGCTCAACCACATCCGAAACGACCTCGAGCTGAACACTCTTCGCAAAATCGGAGCGACCCAGTCAGTTGCTAACTTCACATGGCAGTCGACTCCTTTCCTAGTCTCGTGCTCTACCTTTACTGTCTACGTCCTCACGGATTCCCGGCCTCTGACCACCGCCGTGGTCTTCCCTGCCCTGACTCTCTTCAATCTCCTCACTTTCCCCCTGGCGATCCTGCCCATGGTTATCACCTCCATCATCGAGGCCTCGGTTGCCGTCAAGCGATTGACGGAGTACCTCAATGCGGAAGAACTGCAGACCGACGCCGTGAAGTTTGAAGACCCTGTGGCTCACATGGGCGACGAGTCGGTGCGCATCTGCGATGCCTCGTTCACCTGGAACAGATATGAGCCCACCCCCGTGATCGAAAACATCGACTTCAGTGCCCGCAAGGGCGAACTCAGCTGTATCGTGGGTCGCGTCGGCGCCGGCAAGTCTTCTTTCCTGCAAGCGCTCCTGGGAGACTTGTGGAGAACCGAAGGTGAGGTCGTCGTACGTGGTCGTGTCGCATACGTTGCGCAGTCGTCCTGGGTCATGAATGCCAGCGTTCGTGAGAACATTGTTTTCGGACATCGGTGGGACCCTGAGTTCTATGATCTCACTGTCAATGCGTGTGCTTTGCGTGACGACTTCAAATCCCTGCCGGACGGCGATCAAACAGAAGTCGGAGAGAGAGGAATCTCACTTTCCGGAGGACAAAAGGCCCGTTTGACGCTGGCAAGAGCCGTGTATGCCCGTGCCGATATCTACCTGCTCGATGACGTCCTCTCCGCGGTCGATCAACACGTGGGACGACATCTCATCAACAAGGTCCTTGGCCGCGATGGTATTCTGAGCACCAAGACGAGAATCCTCGCAACGAACGCTATTCCGGTCCTCAAAGAGGCGGACTTTATCGGTCTACTACGCAACAAGACTATCATCGAAAAGGGTACCTACGAGCAGCTGATCGCCATGAAGGGCGAGATAGCCAACCTTATCCGTACGACCATGAACGATTCCGACGAGGATGAGGATTCGACCAGTGATGACCACGGCCTGGCTAGCCCGGAAAGCTCGGAATCTGCTACCGTCATCGATAACCCGGAGTCCGAGAACACGGATACAGACGAGGCCGAGCAGCAGTTGGGAACGATTGCTCCGATCAGAGTGGGTCAGCAACGGAGGGCCAGCGGCACGACCTTACGGCGTGCTAGCACGGCGACCTGGCACGGACCCAGGCGCAAGATCTCGGATGAAGAAAACGTGTTGAAGACCAAGCAGTCCCAGGAAACTTCTCAGCAGGGTAAGGTGAAATGGAGCGTCTACGGCGAGTACGCCAAGAACAGCAATATTGTCGCGGTCGCTTTCTACATGCTCGCGCTCTTGGGTGCTCAGACGGCGCAAGTTGCCGGTAGTTTTTGGCTCAAGCATTGGACAGAGGAGAGCGAATTTCAGCTACATCCTAGTATTGGTAAATTCATTGGAGTCTATCTGGCATTTGGTTTTGGATCCTCCATCTTGGTCATTGTCCAGAACCTCATCCTATGGATCTTCTGCTCGATCGAGGCCTCCCGCAAGCTGCACGAGCGGATGGCTTTCTCGATCTTCCGTTCTCCCATGAGCTTTTTCGAGACTACGCCGTCTGGTCGCATTCTCAATCGGTTCTCTAGGTAAGTCTGATTGTTGCGTTGTGGGGGCTGAGGTTAACGTTTTTAGTGATGTATATCGAATTGATGAGGTACTTGCGCGCACGTTCAACATGGTATGTTCTGAAACCCTTCTTTGATCTTGATTGTTGTTGACTTGGTCAGTTGTTTGGAAATTCCGCCAAAGCACTGTTTACTATGCTGGTTATCGCATCTTCGACCCCCGCGTTTATCTTACTGGTGATCCCCCTGGGGTATATCTATTTGAGTTATCAGAAGTACTATCTCCGAACGTCGCGAGAATTGAAGCGTCTGGACAGTGTTTCTCGAAGCCCGATCTTTGCGCACTTCCAGGAGTCTCTTGGCGGTGTGTCAACTATCCGCGCATACCGGCAGGAAGAGAGGTTCATCCTCGAGAACGAATGGCGCATGGATGCGAATCTCCGTGCATACTTTCCCTCCATCAGCGCGAACAGATGGTTGGCTGTCCGTTTGGAGTTCATTGGCTCGATCATTATCCTGGCTTCCGCGGTACTTTCAATCATCTCCGTGGCGAGTGGCAGCGGACTATCTGCAGGCATGGTCGGTCTGGCAATGTCGTATGCGCTCCAGATCACCCAGTCCCTCAACTGGATCGTCCGACAGACGGTGGAAGTGGAAACGAACATTGTGTCGGTCGAACGTGTCCTTGAGTACGCCAACCTGCCCAGTGAGGCACCTGAGGTGATCTTCAAGAACCGCCCGGCCATCGGCTGGCCAGCGCAAGGCGCCGTGTCCTTCAACAACTACAGCACCCGCTACAGGCCCGGATTGGACCTCGTGCTCCGCGATATCAACCTGGACATCAAGCCTCACGAGAAGATCGGCGTTGTTGGACGCACTGGTGCCGGAAAGAGCTCGCTTACGCTGGCGCTGTTCCGTCTCATCGAACCGACTGGGGGGAACATCAGGTAAGAATCATGCCCGATGTCTACCGTCGTGGTCCACTGGTACTGACGTCTTCCAGCATCGATAATCTAAATGTGTCTACGATTGGGCTGTTCGACCTCCGAGGCCGTCTGGCTATCATCCCGCAGGACCCTGCCATGTTCGAGGGTACCATCCGAGATAATCTAGACCCGCGACACGTGCATGACGACACGGAACTTTGGAGCGTTCTCGGTGAGTTGGGCTCCTGCCGCTGCATATAGAATTACGGTTGACTAACTTGTGCAATGCAGAGCATGCACGTCTGAAGGACCACGTTGCGCAGATGGACGGCCAGCTCGATGCCCGAGTCCAAGAAGGAGGTAAGCTATCCGATTCGAGAACCCTACGATGGCTGCTACGTAGCCATCCGGCGGAAGCAGGATTAACACGATCACAGGATCCAACCTCAGCCAAGGCCAGCGCCAGCTAGTTTCGCTCGCGCGGGCGTTATTGACGCCCAGCAACATCCTTGTGCTAGACGAAGCAACGGTAAGTGCCACCGTCACGTCCATCTCGCCGAAAAGGTGTTTTTTTACTAACGGTGACAATCCAGGCGGCGGTGGACGTGGAAACAGATGCGTTGTTGCAACGCACGTTACGCAGTAGCATCTTCTCGGAGCGCACCATCATCACGATCGCGCATCGCATCAACACGATCATCGACTCAGACCGCATCGTTGTACTCGACAAGGGGCGCGTGGTCGAGTTTGACACCCCCGCCGAGCTGATCAAGCAAGGCGGTAAATTCTACGAGCTAGTGCGCGAGGCCGGTCTGCTCGACAGCGACGGAAGCGCGCCTGCACAGTGAGTAACAACTGGGGGCAAGTAGCTTGCGGCACAGCCGATCGCAGCTGGCGTGCGGCTGGTGGGTGTGGACGTGGGATGGATGACTGGCTGGCTGGGCTCTGGGTCCGCCATGGAATGGCTCTCATGCAGCCAGGAACGTTCCCCGTCGATGTGCATGAGACGATGGGCGGGTTTGATTTGAACGATCCAGGATGGCCGTTCATAAGGGTCATACGAGCAGATGACAGGGAGATTCACAGGTGGGGAGAGAAAGGAGGAGGGGGCGATGATCCAGGCCTCCCCCCTCCACAGTTTTGCGAGGCAAATACCTAAAAAGAAAAAAAGGAAAGGAGACAGAAAAAGAAAAAAGGGGGCGACTAAAAATTCTGGGCCGGGTAATTGATAGGCCCATGGCGTTTGATGAGGATTCAATGATATACAACTTCCTATATGATTTGATTGGGGATTGCATATCCCAGCCGTTTCGTTTCACATTGTCTGCCTATATTATATTATATCTGAAGCTACTCAACAATGGGTATGTTGATTGTCTAGGCAAAATGACCATACATATCTATATTTTATCTTATTTGCCCCAAGCCCAATAGTTAAGCGAAGACGCGCAGGAAAAAAAAAAAGTAAAGCACGAAGACAACCACACCAGCAGGGAAAATTTTCTCAAAAAGAAGCGAAAAGAAATGAGGCCTGGTTTTAATTTCCATCCTGCGTTAGTATAGATATGTACGGAGTATAATAGCGGTCATCAACATGAGGTGTCAAGGAGTAGCGGTGTAGCGAGGCATGGTCATCATGGTCATCTTGCAAGGATTTTTCCCCCCCTTTTCTGCAGCCAAAGCGGTGCTTGCATGGAGGAGATTTCCGGGTGTTAGTGAGGATATGATATGACTTGGAAGGGGATTAGTTGGGGGGGGTAAAGGGGCGTTGTTGTTGATTGTTGTAGTTATTCCTGTTGATATTATTGGAGGTATGGGTAGTGAGCAGGTGAGGAGTAAGTGACAGGGGTGTTGGTATCAGCTGTGGCGACTGAGGGTTTTACATATGTAAGTATGTAGGCAGCAGCAGTTGCAGGCGAATCCATCCAGTGCTTCAGAGTGTGGGATAGCATACTCCCGCGGGTGGTCTATATCTGATATTTGTTGAGAGTCGGAAGTCAAGTCCACTCCACCGTACAGAGTTTCTCACATGCACGCAGATTATCCAGACATACTTCAATGCCATGGTCATGGAGGAGTTCGGAGGCTAGGAACCCTGCTGATGCCAATAGACATGAGGGGAGATGGGAACTGTCGGGATGATATTACTTCTTCTTGTTGGCGGGGGAGTGGAGAGGGGTATCCAGCCAGGCTTTCTTTTCTTTTCTTTCTTTTCTTTTGATGGCTGCTTCTTGTGGAGGAGACTGGGTCATTGTCATTGTGTTTAGAAAATTTTGATTGAATCCAGTTTGTGTTTGGGGCGATGCATGATCTTGTCTGTTCCATTTCTGTATGTGCTTGATAGTGTGCTCTTGTCGCGTGGTCTATAATATAGGCTCTTTCTCAGACAGTGAATGGGATAGTATATTCTATATATTCAAGTCCCTCCACAACGTCAGGTATCCAATATTCAATAGTAAGGATGCACGTATATCCATTCAAACCTGAGAAGTTTCACTGTTCCACCATCCAGACAATCCTCCACATTAAAATAAACATACCGATCTAATATACTGATAATATAACTCTTAGGTATGCACTAGAAACCAGCATAACCCTGGAACTGTTATATCATACAACACTAACGCAGCAGCATCATCATCATCAGAAAGCTGTTCATACCCTAGGATACGGTCTAAACAGGACCAGTCAAGGAGAAGCACGTCCGTTTCATTGTTAAACACACAGCTCAAGCCAAAACAACGGTCTGATAGGATAGGCAGTCATAGATGTACTACCTAGCTCAATCCAGTTCAAACCAGCAAATGACAACCCTGGCCAACCGTTACTCGTCCAGGCAGTTCCATATGCCAGTCTGCTTATGCGCCATTAGACATTGCAGAGTATGCTGTGTGTGGCGTCTAAGTGGACTTTCCTACACAGTTAGAGATAATCTTGGACCAGACCGTACCAGACGAGAGGTGGTGAGGTCTCTTAACCCGTGGCATTGTATTACCTCGCAGCTGGTGCGCATGATGTGACTATACGATGTCGTCCATCTTTCACTGGATGGATGTTATTGTAGTATATTCCTAGTACTTTTTTTCTTATTTTTATTTTTATTTTTTATTTTGAACCAGTAACGTCAGGTGCTTCTCTAGGAGCCTATTCATATGCCCAGTAGATTCGTGCTGATGATAAGAAGCTGTAGATACGACTGTTAGGGTGGAGAACAGTACCAAGTTAGGTATATATTCCCGGATGTCATCAAATTCCCCAGGCTGCATGGTGGCCGTTTTTCAGCACGTGGCTTGTCTTTCTCTTCCTTACTCCCCTCTATATATGCGAAAATATTAATATGTATTTGTTTAATGTTGGAAGTTAAAGAGTATACTAATCTAGGATTAAACAGATAAGGGTGTTAATTTACGGCTAAACCATGTTGTTTTCTTGGATTCGTTCCGATGGAATATATATATATAGCGTATATCAACAGCTACTCCACATCTACTCCGAACACCACTAGTATTTGTATGTCCTCTTAGATATATATATAAACGCAAGAAACAACAGTAACACAATATCTTAATAGCATTCTAGTACTAAACAATGACAAATACTTCTAATCACACTATCACATACGCTATATAACAAGCTACCAACAGACCCCTTGCGTCTGTCAACGACGTCCTCGCAGGACGTATCGACGATCACAAACGAGGAGAGGGGTATATCGCGTGGTACCTAGAGTCATAGCGTCATGATCTTAGGAAATCCCGAACGAGTACCGGCCTTGTTGTTGCCCCCCCGGCGTAGATCAGGGTCTAGATTGATACAGGTGGATACTACAGAGTGAGAAGTATTTCCCTCCTTGCACTGTCGTGCATTCTCTTATCTAAACTGTTGCATTAAGTGTGTGATAGCGCAGTCTGGAAGAACGCGATCAGTTCCGATTGGCAGGAGGGAAGGGGGAAGAGGCTGTAAATGATCTTCGACAGGGAAGGGGTCCGGAAAGAGGGGCGCCAGACGAACAGACACACTCTCATGCGCGTCGCAGAAAAGGGTATGCGATTCGTATAGAACCAGGGAGGTCCACGGAACGATTCACAGATGACAAGACGGACATGATCCGCCGTATATCACCACGCAAATCAACCCTCGAGGAGCGACCGATTGGCCACGTCCAACAGCAGTGAAGAAATTAGAGTATACTAGGTTAGATAGATAGTCAACCTGATCTCCATGATTCGCATGCATGCATTCCCGTCGAGAAGATATTCTGGTAGTCGGTATTGAAATCTGGATCACCCCGCCTGGCTTAACTAATTCCGGAGGGACGTACGTCGATGACACATAACGGACAGGAACTAGTGCGTTGCGAAGGACGCCGAAGCGTCAGGATAAGGTAGTTGAGTGGATTCAATCTTCTCTCTCAGTGGCTAGGAAGTCAGGAAACCAAATTCGGATGGGGGGCTCCTTCGATTTTGAGCTTCGTACAGAGGGAACTGCTCGATATGATGTTTGTAAAAGACGATCGAAGGCTGAGGAATTTGTCATTCTGGCGTCGAGGGTGGATAGTGAGGGGAAAAACCCCGGCACTTTCAACCTGGCGGTCGCTTGCCGTTCCAAGTGCCTGTTCAAATTCGGCAGTCTGAGTTGCCCGACCGGTCTAGACGTTGTCCTGCGCGAGTTAGTACCATTTCCAACCAAACGGGGAGAAGAACACACGAAAACCTGGTAGAAAACTTCTATCGTCCTGGATAAACAAACGTCAGTCAGCGTCAGTGAGAGTATTGGCATAATCTCAGCACGGACAATTTCAAACACTCCAGCCACCCAGCTTTACTTAAGTAACTACCCACACACTAAAGCAGCAACTACTGTACAGAGTCCGAATCAAGATTAACCCCAACGCTCAGGCCTACTGACTCGCACTGACGTAACAAAGTCCACCGCGGCAATCGGGTCGAAAGCCTCGAGTCGATCCGTCCACGGAATATCAAGAGCAAGTATCCGTATATAGCACTACTCCCTGGTCGGATGGATGGATGGACCAGGGAACCACCTAGGAGGGGTCGTACTACATGACTGGCCCCTCAGTTCTCAAACACTGTTGACTGTCTCTGCAGGGTCCCCCGAGGAATCTCTTCCAGGATTACCGTGGGAGAGATCTCTGTCTCTCCACTGACGCACAGTAGCGTCCTGGATCAGAGGCCAGCTGGCAGGAACAGTCCACCCGGCGAACATCCGCGGATCATCTCGTCTATTCAACCCGTGTCTAGTCCGTCTTATGAAATGAAAAGAAGTACTGTCTTCTGGATAGAAAATTAATCCCACAGAGTAAAAATGGGCTTGTCCTGTAAGCAGATAACGAGAGCACGGCATTTAGTCAAGACATCAGTCTACAAATGAAGTTATAGAAAGACAGCTATAACGGTAGAATTTGAATATGGCCAAGTCAGCCGCAGAGACTTTGGCCACCCATCCCATAGTGAATCTAGAATCGGGCAGTCCGACAACAAACAATCGATGAAACCATCACCATTCAGAGCGCATACTCAAACAGGAAAGAGGAGGAAGACGAGGAGGCAAAAACCTAAACAAATTCTTCCCTAAGCTAGTCCCTTGACGGTGGGTTACAAACGACAAAAGCACCGGCCGAGCAAATCCTGCTACACCACACTACCTACCTAGGAGGAAAGATCGTGACAAACCAATTGTCCGTCGTCAGGCGGTCGACCGATGATCGACCAGGGACGACGACAACAACAACAACAACAATAACAAGGACAAGGATATTGTGGCAGCAAGCGGCCAAACACCGAGTGCAGAACCACTCTCGTGGTTGAGCCCTCGGCAAATAGAGTTAGTTCGCTGTTCAGCGTAAGGGGCTTCCGCTCTAGTCTCCAGTGGCGTCTTCGTTGAGGAAGGCAAGGAAGTTATCTGTCAGTGTCAGTCAGGCTGTCAGACTCAACAGTC